AGTAGTAGAAACAAAATTTAAAAAAATAAAAAATGTGAGAAAAACAAAAACAAACAAAAAATGTGAGGTGTACTGTGTACGTACAATCTAACTCTCTTCATGCATGGATTGAACCGTGGTGGAGAATGTGAAATTTACATTTTCGAAATGAAATCATATATACTCTAATTTTACTTTATTATTTCTAATTCAAACAAAAACTTCATTTTGAATTTGTTTGTGAAGAAATGAGTAAGAAAGTAAAATTGGAAAGGGAAGAAGTAATTAATAGTGTAAATGATGAGGGGAAACGTCAGATGCGAAGGGGACAGACAAAGTTGGCAGAAAAAACGTTTTCCGCCGCTTAAGGGACGAATCCCCCCCCCCCCCCCGGGGGGGGGGACCATGCCCCTCAACTAAGCAAAACACCCTTGCTATAAGTTCTCGGTTTTTATCTCTTTGACATTTTTATCTATTCTTTTTGTCTCAAATTACATATTAATTTTAAAATTACAATCCTTTTTTTTTTGAAAAAAAATATTTTTTCTAAAAATCTGTAAATGCATAAAAAAATAAAACTTACACACTCCACATTGAAATCACGTCAAAAATTTTATTCCTTTCGTTGCGAAAAACAGTTCGCCCTAATTTTTTGAGCATTCCACGTACAAAATAACTCTACCTTGCCTAAAATCCTCCTGAATACATCTTATTTCTCCTTTATTTCGGGTAAAAGTTATTTTGGGATATTTTAAAATTTTTTGATGGATATAAGTACTTATTTCGTGGAATGCGTAAAAAATTAGGGTGTAACTATTTTTTGAAATGGATGGAGTACAAAAAAGATGTGACAAAAAGATGTTACTTTATCAAATACTCCCTTCGTCATGAAATTATCTTCTTAATTACTATTTACATGATCAAAAATTGTTCACTATATAAACTAGTAAAAATTAAACCCTAAATAAATCAATAAAAGGCAAAACCAAAAGGGAAAATAGAGGAAGACAAATGAATACTTCAACACTTCATCCCTTGGCTTTAAGAAAATCATAAAAAATTCTCACAATTGAGAAAAGAAACAAAGCATTGCCTAGATATAAGAAAAACACAGAGAATGGCAGGGACCTCGAGTCACACATGCGCCTTCAATAGTCTTTTCTTCTTCTTCGAGGTCAGCAACTACCAAAGCAAGTCAAACTTCTTTTATATATCTTCTTTGACGTCAGCAGTTACTAGCGCGCGCCAGACGACTTCTCTCTTCTTCTTCGACGTGAGTAGCTACCAGCGCGTGTCAGACTTCTCTCCTCTTAAAGTTTTTAGTTTTGAGAAAAAGGACTAAAATCAATTTCAATTTTGTGTTCGCAAACGTCGGCATCGGGTTCTCTAAATATTGAAGACTACCTGGCGTTTAATATTTTTATTCAATTGTATTTTGGTCGTATTTTTTGTTTATACTTCATGCATATTTTACTCCGTACATCTTTTACAAAGTTACACGTTAATATATTTTTAAAATGCCAAATTTTTTTAATTGCATAGAATATTTTTTTCACCTTAAAAAAATTAAAAGGGAATCATATTCAAAAAGATAAAAAGATAAAAACTTTTTAGACAAAAAATGAAAATATATAATTTGACAAATGAAATATATGTTAATTTTTTTTATTTCAAACACATCATTTTTAAATTTTCAAAACTTTTTTAAAAATGGAGGTTTGAAAAAATAATTTCCCATTATTTCACACACAAACATTTTTCTTCTCTTTATGAAAAAAGAAAAGACATTAAAGAAAAAGAGGAGGTGGCATTGGCGCGTATTTCCAAAAACATAGGACTACCAGAGTTATTAACCTAATATTTGAATGATAGTTTTGTCCAGATCAGCATTGAAACAGCAATATCAAAATCATGGAATGCAACTATGTAAGTTTTGAAATTCTGTGGGTAACGGTGCAAATTTAGCAAACCACACGGGGTGTTGGTGCAATAAACTCTTTCGAAAGTCGCCGAAACTTTTGCCTATTTGTGTATTTTCATTAACTATTTGATGAAATAATGAAATATTTTTGTCACCTCTTGTTTTGTAAAATTTTTGATATACTTTTTGAATATGTAAATTTTATTTTTGAATTTATATACTAATCTATAAATAAAATAAATTTAAAAAAAACTTAAGATTTTAATTCATTTTGCATAAGGATAGATGATTTAAGTGTTTAACAAAAGTTGGAGAGAGAGAGAGAATGATGGAAGGAAGGTCTGATCCAATGTGAAGCACCGCCGCAGGAGATCGCCATTGGCGTTGCAACGCATGGACTGTAACGTAAAATTCATCCAAAAGAAATTTAAAGAAAAAATAAAAATATATAAAGTAAATGAAATTTGGAAACCAAAGCAGCACCATGTTTCTTCCCCAACCCACCTGGTTTCCCATTTCTGACCTCCTCCCTTTTTTTTTAACAATTATTTTTTGTTACTCCGTAATTAATTTGCATACATGCTTACATACTCTTATGAGTATTCATTACTTCATCCGTTTGAGTTTGACTTACTTTTTGTTTTACTTTTGACTTTTTTTTGCGTCTTGTTTCCCTCCCTCAACCGAGCCCTTGAATTTTTTTAAAAATTAAATAAGATTTCTCGTGGATTTTTAAAATTATATCAATGTCTTTTGAACTTTTAATAATGTTGTACCAATGCTACGCTTTTTGATTGAATTGGTTCTTTGACAATATCAAACACTTTCATTTAGTCATATAATTTCTCCGTCCCTAAATCGATTACAATTTTTTCCTCTCTCTTCTCGATAAATTTTGTTTGTTTACGGGATTTCATTAAATATTTGATAAAATAAAATATTCTTGTCACCTCTTGTTTTGTAGAACTTTTGTCGTAGTTTTTTAATATGTAATTTTTATATCTTATTGATATCCCAATTTGTAAATAACATGATTTCAAAATATAGAAAATTTCACTCAGTAACCCGCAATTTGTAGTCAAATTGGGGACGGAGGGAGTATTTGACACTTCTTTTGTTTTTTACTAAAATTTAAAAATAAAGCAAATAAAATTAGACAAATTAATCTCATACTCCGTATATTTAAGTGGGGGGAGGGGGGGGGGGAGTATTAGCTACTTTTTATGTGGCAAGACAATGATGCTAGCTCCCATAGTAATACTCAGTTTGTTTCTTGACAAAGACACTAGAAAACAACTATGTTAAGGATATAATTCTTACAAATACTAGTGATATGCTTCAATATTTGACACCAATCTATAATAAAGTTCTAATTTATTTTTTTAGTGACTGAAGAATAGAGTTCATTTTCTTATTGCCATCATACTATGAGAAATTCATTAAAATAGTACTAAACATAGCAACATTATTCTCAGTGTAGTAACATATAGTTTTATTTTTCAATGTAGTACTATTGTTCAATGTGCACAAGTCATTATTCAAGTAAATATCCATCGCCATTGGACATTGTTCAACATAAATGTCCAATATTACTAGATATTGTTCCTACAACTAGATATTATTCAATCACTATGTAGAAAATAAAAAAATTTAAGTAATACGTTAAAAAATTACATTTATTTTAATAGTGAGTGCTCCATCCGTCCTAAAATTAACTTCCCATTTGACTTTTCACGGTCTCCAATGCGACACATTGACCATCAATATCTCAATTTTTATATAAATATATTTTATAAAAATTACATATTTCAAAACTATATTTCAAAATGAATCTATTGCTAATAAATTTATATGAAATTTCAATGTATTTTTTCCATAATAAACAGTCAAAGTTTAAAAAGTTTGACTACAAAAATCAAATTTGGAGTTAATTTTAAGACGGAAGAAGTATTATTTAGTTAGTGAAGATTTCACGCGTACTATTCGTGGAAATAGTACAACATACTACGTAACTAACTAATTTTATCTACAAAATTCAAAGATTACATAATACTTTTTTTTGTTAGTGTCTCGAAAAGTTCACACTTTTCATTTTAATTTATTTTAAAATAAAATACAAAGATTTATTCAACGTTATTTTTAAAATCTCTAGGTTGTGTTATTGCATGTTATTTTAAAGCACACATGTAAAGTGTAAAGTGTGAACCTTTCACATATTTTTCATGGATTAGTACATATAATCAATTTATGTACTAAAGTACATAAAATAATCATGAACTTAAAGACCATTACATGTAAGCATTAATGGTAATAGTCATTTTTTATTTTTAAAAAATGGGGAGCATTACTTACTCAATAAGTTTGTGAAAATATAATATTTCGTTTACTTATTTTTTGTTTAATGTAATTTTTTTATTTTAATTAATTATTTCCATTTAAACTTAATTAAAATGAAGTTTTATTTAATTTAACTTTAAAAATTATGTATTAAAAATAAAAAAATAAAAATTATTTCTAGTAAAACTAACGTGATAGAGAGAAGTTTAAAAGTCTTAATTTGAACGATACGATTTCAAACCTTTATTCTTCTTTTGAGAAATTTACTAAAATAGGACTAAAGCAAAATAATTTTTTCAAATATAGGACCATATATTTTTGTTTTACAATGTAGGACCTTTGACCATTATCAATTAGTCATTATTTAAGTAAATGTCTATCATTACTGGACATTATTAAATCATATTTAAGGAATAAAAATGGTTAAGTGTATTTTTAAGTTTTTAGCGGTTGGTCGTGCTTTTAGTATTACTGTAATTAATATGGGGCGTACATTACATAGTACCTTTCCTCTTTCTGGTAAAATTTTCTCCAGATTCTCTCTGTTGCAATCTCTATCCACGCCCCCTTCCTTCTTATCCGTAGTACCCTCCTTCCTATGTTATGTCTTTTATTACTTGGTGTATTAATTTTACTTCTTCACTCTCTTTGTTTTTTTTTTACTCCCATTTCTATTTATGAGTATTTTCTTTCTTTCTTGAACTGAAGTGAAATTAAATCTAAAATTCAAGTGAATTATACATATATACAAACACACTGGCCTGCCCAGCCAGGGTTTTATTTGCTGATCTTTGATTTCCGGAGATTCTTAGCTATCTAGCGTGTCCGGAGAAAAATGATGACGATGGGATGCCTTGAGAGTCAAGATCTCCACCATGCACCCGGCGGCGGCGGCGGTGACGGCTGCTTGTTAGATGATCTCTCCGCCGCGGTGGCCGGAGACGGGGACGATTTCGATGCGATGGAGATCTGGCTCGAAGGCGGCGTAGATCACCACCAGGAGCACCGCCCTCATGACTTCCCTCCCCTCCCCGCCGCCGGCGATTACTACCCATGCATTTCCTCGTCCTCCTCTACTTCCTCCGCCCCGGCCCCCGGCCACCCCAAGCCCTCTTGCTCTTCCAGCGCCTCTTCCTCCTCCTCCTCCGCCGCCTCTTGGGCTTTTCTCAAATCCGACCCCGAGGATTTGGAACCCGCCGCCAACAAAATCCACCTCCCCTCCGCTTACGCTCCCAGCGCGGCGGCGGCGTCGTCTTTCGACCCGACGCCGCTGCCGGAGGAGAGCTTCACGGAAGACGACTGCATCGACGTGCTCGATAATCTCGGATACATGGACGACTTCATAACCGGGGACACGGATTTGTGGGAAAACTGTTCCATTTTCCCCACCACCGCCGCCGCCCCGGAGGAATGCCAAACCGCTATGGCTGCGGAGGCCAAGGGGGAGATCATTACTTACCATGAAGAGGAAGAAGAGAAGAAAGAGGCGGCAGCGGAAAGCCCGGAGCTGCCGTTTCTTCAGGGGAACGGCGAGCTGGCGGCCATCTTCTTCGACTGGCTGAAGCAGAACAAGGACCACATTTCGGCGGAGGACATGAGGAGCATCAAACTGAAACGGTCCACCATCGAGACCGCCTCGAAGCGGCTCGGCACCTCCAAGGAAGGGAAGAAACAGCTCTTGAAGCTCATCCTCGACTGGGTTCAGCAGTACCAGCTTCAGAAGAAGCTCAGAAGCGGAGGCCAAGCCGATGAGGCCGAGCCGCTACTTCTTCCTCCTCCACCCGGGGACGACGGGGCCTGCTTTTATCTCCCGCCTCCCTTTACCCCGTCGGATCCGGTGGGGCACGCTCATCCCCCGCCCTTTTCCGTATTTCATCCGCCGCAGCATTACGTTGCGGCGGATTCCTACGGTAACTACGGGGGAGGAGTGTCGTATTGTCATTTTCACCAGCAGATGGATTCGAACCAATCGTGGCCGTCGTCCTCCGAGTTCCCGGCGTCGTCTCAGCCGTTTGCCACCCCGTTCCCGGATAACGAAGGCAATACAACAGTGGCATCCGAGCAAGGCGGGTATCCTTTCCCGCTTTTGGACGTCGTGAACGGGGAGAGGGTGGGTTCCTCCGCGACGAAAGAAGCGAGGAAGAAGAGAATGGCGCGGCAGAGGCGTTTGGCGGGTAATCACCACCACCACTTCCGCCATCAGAACAATAACACAATGAGATTGGCTGGCGCGGTTGAGAATTGCGGAGTGGTACTCCCTCTCCACCGTCATCAAGCTATTAATAGTAACAACTTTGGGAATTGGATGTACTGGTCCCCCGCCGCCGTTTCCGACCCTCGACCGCCTCCTCCCCCGATGGTCGTGGAGGCTCCCCAGCCACCTCAGGCGGAGAGGCAGCCGCCGGTGCCGGTGGCGCAACCTCATCATCAGAACAATAATCCAAAGCAAGGCTCATCGGAGCGACGACAGGTGATCCATGTATGTTGATTAACGTCGTAGTCTGCATAGTCTCCAGACTAACATTTGCATCATTAATCATAATTACTCCATGTTTAAAACATGAACTCCATCATGTTTAACTATGCATCAGGGAACCAAAACGGAGAAGAATTTGAGGTTTCTGCTGCAGAAGGTGTTGAAGCAAAGTGACGTTGGCAGTCTTGGAAGGATTGTGCTCCCAAAGGTCGGTTAATCATCAATACAACTAATTTTTTGTTCGTTATTGGACTCTCGTTCATGATTTAGTTGACGAATTAATTTGCACCGAGACGGGAGACATGGACTTATACGGGTACAGGGTCGGAAGCGTGAAACGTCATTTTTTTTCCATAATTTCTAAAGGATTTGGGTGTGGAGAAGCCCCCAAGTACCCGAGCAGGGACTTTTTGGGGACGGGAAGCATAAAGCATAAACCCTTCATTATTTCTCCGTTATATAACGGTCTATTTAGACTTTCTAAGTACTCGGTATATATAACCACACTGCCACACATACGTCACGCCCAAGACATTTTTTTTTGTTTTTCAAAGATAGATTGTGTTTGAACTATGACATTAATAAAAACATCAAATTTCAACATGAATGGGGCTTATATATATGTGCAGAAAGAAGCAGAAACTCAATTGCCTGAACTAGAATCACGGGACGGGATTTCGATTGCGATGGAAGACATTGGCACTTCGCGTGTGTGGAACATGAAGTATAGGTATTGAACGAATTCGATCATATCATAATACTCCATAGATTATGAAATCATTGTCTAAAGCCATATATAGCTATCTTATTCCATTCTTTTACAATGTTTTTTCTTTACTTCACGCAGGTTTTGGCCGAACAACAAAAGCAGAATGTACCTTCTCGAGAATACTGGTAATATATAAACTTCATTAACAAGAACAAGTCGGATTATATATTCATCGTGTCGTCGTGCTTAAAAGTTTCATTTAATTTGGGTTTTGTTGATTGTTAGGGGATTTCGTCCGGGCAAATGCACTTCAAGAAGGAGATTTCATTGTGATATATGCGGACACCAAATCCGGAAAATACGTAAGCTAGGCTGCAATTTTTTTTAAATTATCGTTATATATATTAACTTCGTTCTTGAGACATATTCTGAGGGGAGAGTTAAGCGTAACGCTTACATTCTCGACATGGTATGTGATCACATTATATATATTTGTGCTTGATAACGTGTGCAGCTGATCCGCGGAGTGAAAGTGAGACCGAACGGGCCAAAATCGGACATCATCAAGAAACAGACCGCAAGAAAAAGCACCCGCCCTTTGCCCACGGTCACAACTCTCGTTTGAAATGGCTCATCAAAACAAACCCAATGATCAAATGGCCATATGGCCATCCTATATCAAGCGGTACAAATAAAATTTGAACCTATATCTATATATATATATAAAGATGATTTTCTTGTGTACTATATGAAATTGACTTCGTGGACTGTCCATCGTCGCATCATTTTGTAAAACCCGATCGATCACAATCGTGTTCGTCTATATATATATGTTGTTGTAAGTAGTTGGATGATCAGCGAGCTGCTTCGGTTCGCTGATCAGATTTGCCCAATTTGTAGACCGACCGGTCCATCGATCATAAGCCAGCGCAGCCATGCATACATAATATTTGTTCAAGTACTGTGGTGGAAGATAATTATTTACACAATACTTGCACATTTTTTTATGGTGGCAGCGGCGGGCGGCGGTGGTGGTGGTGGTTTTTTTGGTTGGGCAGCTGTTGTACATCGGCACCCATGACTTTGTTATAGAAATATATATTTGGTTCCATGTATTTGGATGTGTATCAACAACTACTATCAAGTGTTGGATGTTTGATTGTTTTTTTGTGTACCCTTTGTTTCTATGGACTCTGGTTATCATTGTGTTGTGTTTGATTTAGATTTGTATCTATGTACTCCCCCTATTAAATTGTGCATATGTCACAATAAGATGTATCTTATTTGGGAAAAATGTTTTTTTGTTGAAATAGTGTAACCTACAGTTGGAATTGTGTAATGTTTGTTAATTGGGAACCATGTTTTCAAATAGTTGTGCCTATAGTTCTTGTCAAAGACAAATTCTTTTGTGCTCTTTAGATTCATATTCATGCTGATTTCATGAATGATTTTTAAAATTAAGTAGATCTAACTATGATTTAATGAAAAATTTCTGAAACTTAAAATTTTACGTGTGAATTTTAATAGAGAAATTTACCTTTTTCAATATAGGAACATATGTTTTTATTTCCCAATGTAGGACTTTCGGTCATTATCAATCAGTCATTATTCAAGTAAATGTCTATCATTACTGGATATTATTTCTTCCACTAGATATTAATAAGTTTTATTTAGGAAATAAAAAAGTTTAGGTTCTACATTGAAAAATAATTTATGTTTTAGTCTTATTTAGTACAAATTTCACATTTTTTTAATATTATAATAGCACAATTCTTCTTTTTCAAGTAATCATAAGTTGGGTTAAATACAGAGTATGTTTTTAGTTCTGTCAAATATGTAATTTTTTTTGTCCGTGAATTTTATAAGAAGTACCCCCTCCGTTCCACAAAACTCTTCCTCTTTCTTTTTTTTTGTTTTCCACAAAACACTTCCACTTTCTATTAAAAAAACTACTTTCATACCCTATCTATCACATCATACTTTTTTTTACTAATAACCAAACTATTACATCTTACTTTTTCTCATCACATCAGGGGTAAAATTGGAAAGTCAACCAAAATTACACTTTCCTTATTTTTCTCCAAAGTCAAAACCGGAAGGGTTTTGTGGAACGGAGGGAGTAACATTTTTAAATCAAACAAAAGCCTCTATCCCCTGTTTTTTTATGGGGTTTATATTACAAGTAATATTTTGTACAAATTGCCTTCAATGTTTTTTTATGTACAAATTCAATTTTATTTTGCAACATCAATATTGAATTAAAATAAATTTAAAAACAAATGTACCAAAAGTAGTAATCCAAGAGCCAAAGCCCAAAGGTTTGGAGCCAAAACACTCATATGCCCGCTCCGGTGAAGAAACGATTGAGAATCTATGGAGGCTGAGTTCGTGTAGGCCGGAGAAGACAACAGATGAACGAACCAGAGGAAGACGTACGGAACCACGCCGATCGTGCACTGTAGTGATCAAAACACAAATTTTTAGTCGCTTTCATCAGGTTCTGGTTCGGCGTCTAAGACACATTTCTCTGTTTCTCCACTCCCAATTGCTCCAAAAGCCATGAAACCTGAGGTATATGTGTTTCTTTTATATTCATGTGTCAATACTGATGTTAGGGTTGTTCTATTTCTATATATGATACTTGTGAAGAAATTGGCTTTCTTTATTGATATCGTTTTTCTTCCTTTTTTCTAAACTGATTACAATGAAAAACAAGTATGTATATATACATATAGGCAAAAATTATATAAAATAATTTCGTTTTATAATCCGCTTCAAGTTGGAACATGAAGATTGCGAATGCCCAACTTGTCAAGTAGTAAGTAACTGCATCTGTCTTGATCCCAATGCTTTTGTGAACATGTCTGCCACCTGCAATTTGGTATCAATATATTAGGGTTCTATTTCTTCAGACTCAACACCTTCTCTAACGAAATAACAATCCGTTGCCATGTGTTTTGTTCGTTCATGAAAAACTGGATTATTCGCGATATGCTTAACTGCCAAGTTGTCACAGAACCGAGCCTTCTCGAGTTCTAGCAACCTCGATTCCCAAGAAGTATTTTAGAACACCAACGTGTTTCATACTAAGTTTGCTGTTCAAAAAGGTTTTTTTATCTCCTTTATTTTCTGTGCATTGTTCCCTGCAACGATGACATTGTTAACGTATATGAGAGTGATCTGCTTTGGACTGTGGAAAACCGATCTTTCCTTGTACCTTTGTACTTCACCATTTGGTTTATACTTCACTAGTTCACTTTGTAAATCCATTTAGAGTCTATGGCTTGCTTGTCCTCTGGCAACTCTTCAAGTGTCCACGTCCCATTTACTTCAAGAGCTTTTATTTCTCTTTTCATGGCTTCCCTCCAACTCTTGTCCTGTGCAGCTTTGTTAAAAGTTTTGGGCTCATTGTGCGCATTGATAGATGTTAGAAATGCCCTATGAGGATTTGAAAATTTACAATAAGAAATATAGTTGGGAATAGGATGCTCCGTTGAGGAACTTTGGTTGTGAGTGAGTAGCGCAGGATCGATGGACGGTGGGAGCTTTACATCGCACCCGTCAAGACGTTTAGAAGGAAACCGTTCCCTCATTTCACGAGTTGGGCACTTGGGCCATTGTTTTCTGGTTCCACAAAAGAATGTAACTCATTTTCAATTTGTAATGGAGAATTCTCACCTTCTGCTTGTATAGGGGTATGTTCTTGGGCTATTGTCCCACCTTCTGTTTTTTGCTCAGTGTTGCTTTGATCATGTAAGCCACCATTCTTTACATTACCACTTTCATCTTCACTTCGGTCACGACTGTCTTTGTGAGCTTGTGTTTCACTCTCGTCATAGTGCCAAGGAGGGAACTCAAAGATTGCAGGTTCTTCATCTTCGGCAATGAGCTCTGTCAAGCTAAGCAGAAATATGGTTTCAACAAATCTATCTCTTGAGATAACCATCTTATTTTTACTCATATCAAAAATCTTGTAGCTCTTAGTTACTCTGAGATAACCTAAAAATACCTCCTGCTTCCCCCTTTCCTCGAACTTATACCCATCGATTTCCGTACTTCTATAAGGCAACCGAACACCTTTAGGCTCTCCTAGAATGGTTTTTGGTTGAAAACCATTTCAAAAGGAGTCTTATTGTTTTAGGTTTTAGAAGGCACATGATTAATAATGTAAGCCGTCATTGAAATACATTCACCCCAAAATCTAGATGGCAATTTTGCTTCAAACTTTAGCGCTCGATCTAGATGTTTCGAGTCAACGATGTTTCCGTTCCACCACACCATTTTGCTGTGGTGTGCGTGGACACGTTGTTTCAAGGAAAATCCCTTCTTTGGTGTAGGAACTAGTCATACGGTTTGAGGTGAACACACTGCCATTGTCACATCGAGTGCGTTTGACGGTCTTGCCAAACTTGGTTGTGACAAATTTATGGATCCCAATTGGACAGTCACTAGCTTGGTGTTTGTGTTTCAAAAGAAAGGCCCATACAGAGCGACTCTAATCATTAACGATGGTTAAGAAATAATTTGCCCGCGTAAGTGATGGAGTTTGGTATTTTTTCCATATATCACAATGCAAGAGTTCAAAACAATCTTTTGTTTTGATGAAAGGTAACCTGGTATGTTTGGCCTTGGCAAAGATTTTATAAAATAATTTTGTTCTATAACTTGTTTTTTTACATTGCGTTGTTTTATTGCTAACTTGCTATACAACTATCATTATTGTGAAGTGAGTGGACAGTAAATTTGGGATGGGAAGCATATTTTAAAAACATTAATCAAATGGGTTCGTGTTACGAGACTTATTATTGTTATTTTTATTCTTTTCTCTCTTTTTTCTTTTCAAACCAAACACTGAAATTGTTTCTTCTTACTATTTTCTGTCTTTTCCCCTCCGAGTTCCTTGAATCAAAGGAGTCTGAAGTTTACATTTACAGAAAGAAACAAGAAAAAGATTCTTATGAAGTGAACTTCAATCAAATACATATACTTACATTACACTATATCTTCAGGAGTTCATTTTCATGAAAGCTGAACATGTAAAAAAACAAGAAAATTGAGCTTCTGTATCATTCTCCCTCTCTGCCTGTGTTTGATTCTACCCATCCATTGGACTTTTGATACATAACAATGTGCAAGCCATGTTTAGGAATCATGGGTGGAAGAGGTTTTGGACAAATTTCCCCTAGATTACTTACCAAAAAGAATCCGAGGTTGGTTGTGTTGAATCAATCTATTATAAGCCTAAAAATGTGTAATTTCACAAGATGTTCCCTGCAGTATTTAGGTCTTGTTTGGGAACAATGCTTTCAATTTAGCATTTTTGCTAACTTCTTAATGGTGCAGATTAACTTTGAAAACGCTAAAGCTAAACGCTGCCATTAGATAGTTTTTTTCAAAACGCTGAAGTTGCAAAACAGGCTCTTAATGAGATCAGCATTGGTTGCCAGGACGGCAAGATAGGACACCGGCATCATAAGTAAGAGTGCCCACTAAGGAAGAGGGCTTGGCCGCCAAGCTAGAGGCCTTGGCGTAGGTACTTGAAGCCCCACTTCCAGACGGAGTGAAGTAAGCTCCATTTAGCATAAGGTCCCCTTCCGATTTCCAATTCCATCCCTCCCAAACGCCGTTAGATGTGTTTACCCTCTTAGTCACCTCTTTGGCAAAAGGGTTGGTGGGGGCTAGGAATCTGTTGCCTTGGCTGTTGATTGTGGGGTTGGAACTCCCACCAATGGCATACATCTCCCAATGTGTGTAGTCATTGTTCACCACATGGAAGTATCCAAACCTACACCTGCATTGCAGCAATCTTGAAATTTAAGGCAACGTTTGGCTGTCAAATGCGACTTATTTCGGTTTTGACTAGAGATAGAGATCTTTACTCCTGAATCGCTTGCTTGGCCGAAATGAATGTTAGTATTTCAATCACTTCAGCCAAACATACCTTACCAAACCCGTCCTCAGTGGAGTTCTTACCAAGTTTGTATCCAATTGGACAAAAGCCCCTCCTGTTTGTCTCAACCCGATCCAATCTAAATGTCTTATTTCAATTAGATGGCTCAGATCGAGGCAAACATCAGGTACCGCTTATATGGGGGACTCAGCTATATTTACCTGGGCATTCTTTGAATAAGCCCCTCCCCAAAATGGTTGTAAGCAATTGTGACCTGCATATCCTTGTCTTTAGAGTAGGAGTCACTGTGCCCTAACAACATGACCTGTATGGTAGATATGAGTGATTAGTCATATTATTAAATGCTCACAAGATTAGGAAAGGGTTAATTGAGCTTAGGGTCTTTAGGGTCCTCTAGTAATTGTAGTGGCTCCATGTTATTGTAAGAAGAAGTTCTTGTAGAGATTTGCCCACTTATGACTTATGACCCATTTCCTCATTTAAATTTAATAGAAAAATTTATGTGACCCACTTTGAGAGAATTGGGAGCATAATAATAACTTAAAACCAGACCTCATTGTGGTGGGTGAAGTAATTGTTGGAGATGGTGATGGCTGTTGATCCCATAATAGCATCAATGAGCCCATCAGCACAGTTAGACAGTGAGTTATGGTCAATCCATATGTGGCTAGACTCAAAAATAGAAATGCCGTCGCCATCGGCCATCGTCCTCCAACCAAAGTGACTCGGTGAGCTGCGGACCATGGCGTTCCCCGTGGGCTTGCAGTCGTGGATGTGGAGCCCATGGATGATGACGTTGGTGATGAACTGGAGCGTGAGACAGGCCCCGTCCGCCACGTGCACGTGGGCCCCGCGGGCATCGATCGTCTTGAAGCTGTTCATGATCAGCTCCTCTTTCAACGTGATCACCATGTCCCTCTCGAACACGATCCACAGCGGCTCCACTTGGATGACCGCGTGCCGCAGCGTCCCGGGCTTCGGGCTGACCGGGTCGTCGTCGCTCGGGTCCGTGACCACGTACATTGCCCCGTCGCGGCCGCCGATCGCGTTCCGGCCGAAGCCGATGGCGCAGTCGGCCAACCGCTTGCGGTTCTGCTGCCAGTTGGGGTCGCAACGCCAGCAGTCGTCTATGGGGTTCCCAGTCGCGCACGAAAAGTATCCCAATTTTCTCCTCTCCGTAGCATTGTGAATGCTCCTGCGTAATAAAACACCAAAAACTAATTAAAAATGCTACTAATCAACACCGCCAATCCCAAAAATAAATAAATAAAATAATAAACAAATAGATAAATAAATAAATAAATGTACTGTACCTTATAGTACCATGGGTACATAATATTGGACATAATAAAAATGGATGATGTGAATAAATACAGATGGAAGAAGTGGTGGGCAGGTTTGAATTCACGGAGTGTCGGTTTGGATGACTTTTTAGTAGTTACAGTAGTTGGAATTTCTCACACCTTTTTAGTTGGAGTTCTTATTAAGTGCCTCCACCCCCCAATTACACCACTTTTCATTTATTGACTTTGTGATCACTTTTTTTGACTGAAATGAAACGTGGTGCAATTAGAAGGGGTGCGGAGGTGCATTGGGGACGGGATGGGTTCGGGGGGGTTTACCGGAGGGTTATGGGGGTAGGAACAATCAATTTTACGAACGGAGTACCGTAGGTGCTCCGATTGCATTGTTGTAGGAATTGTTGTAACTATTTTTGTTGTAAGAATATATGTATATTGGGGATTTGGAGTATTAAAGTTGTGGCGAGTAAATTGTTAGATTCTACTGCAAAGATGAGAATAAAATGAGAAAAGGGTCATTTATGAATTTGAAACAATATTGTTAGGAGCTAACGTGGACACCATCAATGCGATTGCCTCTGGGTCATCTACACCTTCCACGTGCTGGGGTTCACCATTTATTAATCTACAAAAGAAAGGTAAAATTATTATTATTATTATTATTATTATTATTATTATTATTATTCTCTATTTATTTTTACTATTCTAGTAGTAAAATTATTGCTGTTTTTAGCTTTGCTTTCTATTTATGACCTAAGAATTGTGGCAGAAACTCGTCGAGTTTTTAGCTTTGCTTTCTAGCATTTTTTTATGCCATAGTACAATGCAAAATGTACTGCAAAGAAAACTTTTGAAATGGACTACCAAATGTAGAGCAAGCTCATAAATAAGATTTTGAACTTAACTAAAATTTTTTAGATTCAATTGATTCACTAGTTCCACTCAATATCTTATTAACCATTTTTTAAATAATACTCCATAATATTCCGACAATATGATCCAAAAGAAGATGTATGAAATTAAAAATGAAGTAAAATGTCGGCAATCTGTAGCTATCCTAGCTAAAATTACCAATCTCCCATCACTAATGACTTCAAAAATTCAATTAAGGGCTCGTTTAGCAACACCTTCAGTGTTTAACTTTAATCTTTTGAAAATATTATCTGACACGCGGCATCACTTTACCGGTTTTTAAAATCAATCTGTACCATTAAAAACTAACTTAACCAAAATTCTATTGCTCATTCAAATCGTTCTTCCTCTCTATACATTCAACTGTTTTTTTTAATAAAAATCAACTAAATAAGAATCATGATTGATTGATTATTGATTAATTAATCTCTGCACTAATCACAAAATAAACAAATGAAATCAACAAAATGAAATACCTCTTGCTGCTGAATGCAGAAGCATTATTTAGATATAACAGCCTGACGAGAGCTAGAAATGCGATGATCAAACTTAACCTTAACGCTTCCATTGCCGCACGCAGTAATATAATTAATTAGTTGGAGATCTCCAATATGTATGTATATATATGTATATATATCGTGCTTGTCTGTATATATGTATGTATAGTGTGTGTGTGTGTGTGTATAGATAGATATATATAGATGTTTTGTGTACGTACGTAGTAGTGTAAATGAATGAACGAAGAGGCTTGGCTATGGACTGTNATGTGAGAGAGAAGTGAAATTGAATTCCTAGTTGGGCCATGCTTGCTTGTTTATTTGCCTAACTGTCAATCCATCTCTCACTACTAACCATAGTTAGGTTTATTCCACTCCACGGGTCACACATGTCATCGTGTATCTTTATTAGGAGGAGAGTATATACATACATACATACTTATGTTTCACAAAACTGTAACCTCTCTTCAATTTAATGTACCTAGAATTAGATGCTCCTTATCTTTCCGAGCATCACTACTCGTTCCCTTCTACATTATCCACTACTTTACTTATTCCGACTGCAGAACTCAGTATCCACTCTACAACACCGAGAGTCCGTTTTCTATTGTCGTTCTTCAAAATTTTAGTTAAGGGTCTATATATATTTGCTTATTGATTAAGGGTTGTGCCGCGGCAACCCAAATATTTTGAGGTTATTATGATCCCAATCCTTGCAGAGACACGCACAAAGAATTTTTGAAAAACGAAAAGTAAAAACTCATTTACCCTTGAAAATTGCAACCCAAATCTAGTCGGCTTGAAAATTGAAACCCAAGTATTATAATGCGGGCTAATCCATTAGAAGGAAGATCAACACTTGGACAACTGACATTCTGGCCTTTGGATGGATGGGTGGGGAACACGCTTGTGTGGATTTAACAGGGGTTTCTCACCTTGTAGGTTTGGGGACTGGTGTTCTCATGGTGGGCCAAGTTGCGTTAAAAGTTGCTTCATGCAAAGTGATCAAACAGGAGAGAGTGTGCCTTGACAACCAACACATGTTTATACCATTCACATTTGACACATTTGATTTCCTCGCACATGAGGCCTTTAAAACTGTGCTGCTAAGTCGAGTGCAAGGGTTATACATAGTTATGTCATGACCCTTAGATCTATAGATGTAATTTTCAAAAGACTTAGTTTTTCTATTAAAAAACGACTTGTCGCGTAGCTTGTTGCACGTTTGCCTTCTATTTCAATGTATTAGAAGGCAATTGCTATTTCGATTTTAGAATTTCTTCTCGGTTCAAGGACAACAACAACAACCCAGGTGAATCCTACAACAGTAGGGTTTGGGGAAGGTGTGTGTACGCAGACTTTGCCCCTCTCGGTTCAAGGAAATATTTGTATTTTAGATCTGGTTTTTTCTCTAATTTCTAAACAAATAACTATCCCACATTTTCATAGTAAGTGTGTTAAGTCAAAATGTGAATAAATATTTAGATATGGTGGTCGGTGAGTAATTTTTAAAGCGCACACATTATTTAATGCTTCACATGAAAGGCATATTGTTTAAAAAAAAACAAAAACATAAGGTACCTTTAAAGAGTTGTGCCAATATGGTCTTAAAAATTAACATGTGAAATGTAAACTTTTTTTATATATTTTCTATGTGTTCATAGTTGGATTTCTTCTTTTTTATAAGATCCAATACATATAACTATTTCATGTATTAAAGTTTATTAAATGAGTATAAATTTAAAGACTTCACAAGAATTTTCCGCTCTTAAAATGTTCCCTGCAAGTACAAGTTTGAATCTATCTCATTTTTGTTTTTACCGAACATGATTTCATATACATCTAGAAATCATCTCTTTTTGTCAATCTTTTTTACATACAATTTATCTATTTTTTTGTTGATATCTCTCTATCTAATTAACTATGGTTTTGATGAAAACGTAAAGCCTAAATCTAAAATGATTGAATGGCAAAAAAAATTGCACAATGTGCATGTGAGGAGGAGAATATTAGAAGAATATTTGCACCTTTTTGGCCATCTTTTGAGTAATTTGGTACCAAAAACATAACATGCTAATCCTGCTAAGGATATGTCACTGTTTTGGTGCAGCTGTCAATTTGTTCCATTTGTGTAGAGGGACATTTCGAATTTGCCACCTTATTTTTTGATCGGTTCTCAAATTGAAAAACAAAGTTAAAAACTCCTATCTTGAATATAAAGAGTATGTTTGTAGATTTCTTGGGCTTATAAGGCCTTGTTTAGGAAGAACATTTTAGATTAGTGTTAACGTCTTGGATAAAATTTTAATGGTGTAGATTAATTCTGAAAGCGCTTACGCTAAAGACTATCGTCAGATAGCTTTTTCAAAACGCTAACGTTGATGCCAAACGGGACCTTAATCTCGAAAGAGTCAATACGCTGATAAAGCGGTCCACCAGAACCACTGTGCAATGCTCTGTATTTGAAACGCGAATTTTTTTTCTTCAAAACATATAAAGGCGAAAATGATAACTTGGTCAAATTAAGAATTAAAAAAAGACTGTGGAAACAAGTTAATGGCATAATTCATGGCGCGCATATGCATTTTTAGATTGATTGAGATATATATATAATCTGCCGCCGCCTATCTCGGAGCGCCTTCTTCCCGTGATCATAATTAATAGAGCGAGTCTCCCGTACTTTTTATTCTTTCTTTTCTATAATAATCCGATTCATAATATTTAAAAAATGAGAGAGGATGTCAAGCTCTCCGCCAAAGAGAGGATGTCAAGCTCGTTGATCTTAGGGTCGAATTTTGATAATGGCAGTGTGGAGTTTTATTATTTGTAATAGGTCCTTATGCGCACTGGGTACGGGGCGAGCTCTCTAGGGACCAGATTGAGATTATGTTATAATTTACTTCCCCCACAATCATATCGGCCCGGAGTGTGGGGCACCCGAAATGGGCGTTCCACCTTTTAAGAAACGAGACAATGCTACTCTTACTGTCTTACAGATTATTCTCTCGAGTTCTGACAAGCGCACGAGTGATTATACATCATATAAGAAGATTCAATTTAATGTGAATCGATCAAATATTTTCACTTGAAAAGCGTGTTAGAGGCAGAGCCTTTGATACGTACTTCTAAAAGAGATAAAAAAACGTTTTTGTCCAAATTTGGTTTAATTTAATTTGTTTGAGAGTGACTAAGTGACCACGAACAAAGTCAATTACAACCACTTAACATGCACGGTTACTTTATTTTTTTTAAAAAAATACAATTATATGTGGCAAAGTTTGAAAACTTCCATAATATGTGTAAAATGTAAGAAGAGTTTGAGAAAATGCATGTGTTTTGTTCAATTAAACACATGTAAGACAACAAGGAATGTTATTTGAAAAGAAGTGCCCTGTATATCAAAATGTCTACTAGTTCATAATAGAGTTATAGTATACATTAACATGTACTCTTTTTTTAAGGTAGCATTAACACGTAGTTTTATGTTTCAATATTGTGTGATTATTTTTTTTACCATATATTTTTTTCATTTTAACATCTAAATCATTCTATCATTTTTTTAGGTCAATTGAAAAGTTTTAAGAAGGCTATTTGGGAGATTGTGCGGATGGCTTCAGTGAAAAATAAGTAGTGTGAAACTAGACTGAAATGGTTTGGATACATGATGTGGGCGAAAGTATTACTATTTTATTTTTATGGTCGGAGCTCATAATTTTAGTTATCGTGATTAGCATTAAAAGTATGTCTTGTTTTCATTTTAATTTTATGCTATCAGATTCATCATTTTGAAATATAGTTATAGAATTTACTTGCTATTGGGTTTATGTCATTTGTCTCAGCCTCTCTACTTTCGAGTAGGGGCAATGTCTGCGTACACACACCCTCCCCAGACCCTACTCTTGTGGGATTTAACTGGATTGTTGTTGTTGTTGTTGTTGTTGTTGTTGTTGGGTTTATGTCATTTGATAAAATTTAATCAGACATTATTAATAACCAAATTAATATTTTAGAAATAGTAAAAGACGGAATGTGACATTCTTTTAACGAATATAAAACAGTAGAGAGTACTTCGATATGATATGTGACTCGGGAAAAAAGTGAAACATAATCTTTATTTTGAAAGGGGAAATAAGTGAAGTATAATCTTTATTCTTGGAACAAACTAAACAAAAAAAAATTATAAAATTTATTTCAAATTTTAGGGACTACAAGTAACAATTATTAATTATTACATGGGCTATATATCCTATAGATGCGTAGAATGCACACAAATTTGATTCCTGACCATTAGTTTTTTCAATAAGCAGTGCAAATGGTACTAGTGAGACGATTTGCAAAAAGATGTGAATATAAACCGTGCAATTATACATACAAACTAATGAAGCACTAGTGGGTGTTTTTGCTATTTATAGATGCAAAAAAAAAAGATGGATAATTAATTATGCTATGTTTGAGCTATTATTAGCGAGTCCAATCACGTAATTATGTTGACATTTATGTTCCATTACTCAATAAATTAACCTTCGTGCAGGATTTAGGTTGAAGTATACACGTAAAAGCAAGGGTTTACGGAGTATAATTATAATCATCACATGGTTTAATTGGATCCACACAAAATCAACTCACTCCCTCCCGAAAAACTTTCACATTTCTCTTTTTTGTTAGTCTCGAAAAAAAAAATTTATTTGCTTTTTTATTTTTAGACAAATTTTTGTGGCACATAAATTTTTCTCTTCTCAACACCAATTACAAACATACCATTTCATTTTTCTTAATTTTCGTACCAAATCAAATGTTGAAATTTTCTAAGAGACGAAGAGAGTAATTAATTTGGTACGAAGGCATGTACATGACTTATCGCAGACTCTCACATGTCACAAAGAGCAAGTTAACTAACATTTATAACGAAACACGCTTCGTATGAAGAGGTTTAGATTAGGGTAGTAAAATCACTAAAATGCAAAGGTTAATGGTGGACATTTGTCGAGTTTGCGCATGCTCAAACAAAACTTTGTGTAACAATACAATAATTGAAAACAAATTCTCCAAATAATTTGAAATCAAGTAATCCCAATAATTTTAAATACTTCATAACTAGAATCAGTTAAAGATCTTGTGATTTAGTCGCATCATTGTGGCTCGTCGAAAATTGAACCGCACCATGTTCAAACACGAGTGGGTTGTTGCTGGCTCTGTGCGTTTCGATAAGTTGAGGATCTTAATTTGAAAAAATATTAGAGAAAAAGATTAAAATAAGAGTAAACATTGGAAATATATGAAAATGAGAATTATATGCTATTATTCTCAAAATAAGAGTTAAATACATTTACATTACCAATCATGACCATAAGCATTACGTAAAATGCACGTGTATAATGTCATATTACTACGTACAATGCGAACTCTTATTTAACGAATAAAAACATGACACTCTTATTTTAATATTTTTTTATGTTTTAGTTTTATTTAGGTTGATTTCTTAAAATACTACAGAGTACTTATAATGGAGTTAATAGAGCTCAAAATAATAGAAGCATATTGGTAGGTGATGGTGCAATACGCAGCAATTAAACTGAGCCAGATGTAATTGGGACCAATCAGATTTGTTTTTTTTTTGTTTTATATTTCAATTTTCTACACTAGAGTTTACAAACTCGACTGTTGTATTCGAGTTTTAGCTTAAATTACTTCTACATGGAAAGTGAAAAAACCATATTGAAGACTTCGAATTCTAATGATCAGACTCCAATTGCAAGACCTCATACTACAAACATTGATTAAAGTTAAAGAATAAAAGAACCAACCTTAACAGGCCCTATATTTTACTATCCAGATTGTAGTTAAAATTATTATTACATCCACACGAATTACCACATTCAAGTTATCAAACTCTAGAATTGGGACTCCGAATTCCATAGTTTGTCCTGATGCGTTCGTTCGGCTTGTTTTTTTTACAGTTATTCAAAGGAAAAAGCATAAAGAAAAGAGGATGCTACAAGTACGCTCATACGCTTTTGTAATAAGTGAGGGTTTAGTTCAGCGTTATCAATGAAAGGGTAAACGAGCCGAGACAAGGGAGACTTGATAAACGTGTTTAGAGCACCCAACAATCGTCACGACACTAACTAGTCGAACTCAAGGACAATTTGGGTATATTACTTTCACGTTTTTTAATTGGGGTAGAAGATGAGCACTATCATAAAAAAAGCTTTTTTAAAAAGCAAAATAAAAAATCTCCCGTAAAAGTAGAGAACAAGAACAAATGTGATGATTGTTCACTGGCGCAATATGCTCGTTTCTGCAGCAAATCAGCAGAATAGACATTCCTCATGTGGTTGTTCTTGTGACACCAGCTTCCAGTGTCATATTATGACACTAAAGCTCCGTTTGGTACACGAAACTCAGCGATGGAATTGGAATTGGGGACCATATTTTCAATTTTGTTATTTGGTTGCACAAAAATATGTCAATTTGGAATTGGTAGTAACAAAAATGAATTGGAATTGGAGAAGTCAATTTCATCCAAATCAATTCCATAGAATTTCAACATCTAATTTAATTCTAATTTTGTCAATTCTGTATACCAAACAGGCCTTGAATGTATTCCAACCTCAGCTCACCTCATTTCTATTGGAGTGGCATAATGGCCTAGTGCTAATATGACATCAGGCATCAGTGTCACAAGAACCAAATTATGAATGAATAGATTATAATAGCACACTCAAACCCCAAATGGAGATGATTATAAAAACGGCACCTTTGTCACTTGAACCGTGGCAAAGATAAAGATTAGGCTCCAACATTCTAACCACAAATAAAAGAGACCAATGGTAATTTCCCAAACAAAATGGTCATTTTATGTCAAATGACTTCCATATCACAATCTTCTTACCATTTCAACAGTCATCATCACAAGTTTTTCTCCAATTGCTATGAAATATAATAGACGACGTACGGAAAAATGACAATATTGCGATACTGATGTCTCATCACAAGATCAAGATTGTTAAAATTTTAAGAGCGAGAAACTTGTGCCGAGGAATACTCAAAAAAGACTTTTCATTAAATTTTGATGGAATCGAAAAAGTTAAAAAAAAACCAACACAAATTGGGGAAAGCCAACTTTTGAACATCGAAGATGGTAGTCTTGAATCTCCCTCCCCAAGGATTTGATATACTCATATGACAAAACAGGGACGAGGGGGAGGAGAGAAAAAACACGATACTAGCAATAGCACAAATATAAACAGTACATTAGCTTACAGACAAACGATCTAGGAGCAGCCAAAGCATCTTCCTATAGAGAAAGGATGGGAAGGTGAAGGGACCTGCTTGGTTTCAGATTTTTTGGTTGGAAGGTGCTTGAAGAAGGCTGTAACTGCTCCTGTCACGCCATCTTCATTCTCCATAGCCTTCGCAAGTTCAACCGCACGATTCTTTACCTGTCAATAATCTCACTTGTTTTTTTGTAAGGGAGAAATATATTCCTTCCGTCCCTAAATTAAAGTCACAATGTCCATTTTTGGTTTCCAAAAATTAAAGCCAAACTTCTACATTTCCTGTTAGGGAAAAGAATGTGGCTTACACTATGTGAAGTCAAAAAAGACAGTGACTTTAATTTAGGGATGGAGTATATGAAAATGCTACCCAAACAGATTTATTTTGGGTGAGGGTGGCTTGACCAGGTTATACCAATGCTAATGTCGTATCCATCTGACTATTTTCTGGACTTTGTTTTGACATGTAGCAGCAATCAAATACAGAGGAATAACTTTAGACATGTTCTGATCTGAAGGAGGGGATGAGAAAGGAGGATAGGGGAGGGGAAGAAAATGAGAGCTGAAGAAGATGCTTAGTCTAGTCAAATCGAAGAGATGCAATAACATTTCTTAAGAATATGGGGAAAAATCTGTAATTAAAAAAATATTTCGTAACAATCTATATGTAATAAATATCTTACTTTTGCTCGGCATCAATTCACAAATAGTTCATTGTGTTCATTACGGACTTTTGAGCCGGGAATCTTTTGAGACTATCTCTACTGCCTAACCTTATAGGGGGCAACACATCGGCACCCCCCCCCCCCTCTGACCCTACTTGTGAGACTCCACTAGATAAGTTTATCTCTCACCCATCATCTCTCAATATGGAGCTGTGATATGAGGAATTTGGGAAGTTCATCACTCCCCCATTTTCTTCCCCCTAACTCCTCCAGCCAAACATGTCATGTTCCGTGATTTGCATGATGATTTTGCTATATCAATCATGTAATGGACAGGACAATATCAATTATCTCAACTATTGTCGTCCAATGATGGGTTCCCAAGCATGTGGAACTAATCTAGGTGAAAACATTTTAGAGTTTTTCATCTCATTATTTCTTCTAGAGGTGCTGACAATGATGAACTCCTACCAAACACACCACGGTCCTCTTATCACACACCCTTCCAAAAATCCTCCAACCATACAAGGATTTTAAGCTGAATAAGAATGAATACTTTTCATCTTCAGGAGATTATCTAAAATACGACTTTCCATATAACATCAGAAAATTATTCCCGAACAAAAAAACAACATATTACCTTTGGATCTAGCATGAATTCGATTGCACCAATCAGTTTGTTAAGTGAAAATTCCTCAACCGGTATTGGTTGTGGACCTACTCCTCTAGCATGCACTCTATCTCCCCAAAATGGCTGGTCACCAAAGAAAGGGACAATAGTTGTTGGGCACTGCGAAAGATCCAGAGGACAGGTATTATAAGAAAAGTAATAGATCGCTAATTGGAAATACAACATGACCTCTTATACCTTTTTTGGTTCAAAAGAGGGGAGGAAAAAAGGGGTAGGGGATGGGAGGAAAATGGAGTTCATTTAAAAAATATTATGTACTCCGTATTCTGTTTGTGCTAATGATGAAGTGCGAATGAGTTGGTATTTTCGATATATATGTAAAAATATTGTATTTTATATACGGAGTATTTTTTTGCAAATAAAATAGTTCTAATTAATTGTATAGAGCTACTTAACACTACACATTCATGCAAAACAATATAGCGGAAAGATAGAACAATTTTACTACTCCCTCCGTCCAATAGTTTTCTCCCCCACCCCAAACTCACCTTTTTGGTCTGTTATGGGCTTAAGGCAAAGAAGTCTGCTTTAAGTGAGAAATTAACCCTTCCAATTTTAACGATTACATATCATATCGTCATTTTTAATCTACAGTATTCACTTTATTTAAAACTATTCATCCAAGAGTGAATGCGGCCAGTCCGCCAGTCAATGGTTTCTTCAACTCTCATAAATATGTGTGCCGGGTCATGGGTCAAACAGGGAAGATACGGATTTAAAAAGTGAAAGAAATTAAGAGAAAATTAACTCCCTCGAAATCCCTCAAATTATGCAGAGGAGTTTGAGGGACTTTAGCTCCTCCGCTTTCTTCACCCTTCATCGTAATTCACACAACTAAATGCCCCCCCCTCCCCGCAATATCCTAGGGAATACCGCAGCTCGAAGACCAGCAGCCGTTGTTCCAGCACCCCCATGATGCACCTGAAAAGAAGGTGAAAGAATATGTGTAATTTGCTCAAATGTAAAATTTTGGAAGTCCAAGGGCTATGCAGCACCCTTGCAGAAATGTGGAAGATACATAGTGTATACTAAGGCTAAGATTCTATAGGTGAAGGACCATGCCTGAAAAATTCAAAGGTAACCAAATATTGGATAATTTGTGTTGACGAAACAATATATAATTATTTAGATAATAGGAAGGAAATACTATGCAGTCAGCATCAACTTTCACCTCCCTGAACCGGGCAAGTAAGAACTTTGGATCCTAGAGTTCGTGACTAATTAGGAAGCATTGTGGCTTCAACAATGATAATTTTATTAATGATTGTGAGAATAAATAAGCAAAGCCTTACAATAGACCTATCATGATCATACTAGGAAACGTGAATACTTGCTTAGGAACATGAACTAAAATAAGACAGTTAAGACTAAGAATAGGAAACTATTAATATTCCTAATAATAATAGAAATTGGAAAATTATAATAATAATAATCGATTATAGGAAACTAATAATGATGATGATGATGATGATGATGATGATGATAATAATAATAACTGCAATTCCGGGATTAAAAATTTAACCCCTAGATCTATAACATAGTATTATAGAGATTTGCACTTTTGACCATTAAATTCATGAACCTTCAACTTTTAAGCTCCTTAAAATGTGGCTTTTTCCTCTTGTCAAGCCTTACAATAACAACAACAACACAGTTGAATCCCACAAAAATAGGGTCCAGGGAGGGTGTGTGTATGCAGACCTTATCTCTCATCAAGCCTTATAAGCCTTTATCTTTGCCCCCACCTTATACCCTACTCTTGGAGTGAGCAAAAAAGGGCCAAAAAAGCAAAGTCTCTTTTTCTTCACAACCAGTCCAACCACCTAAGTTCTTTCATTGTCACTGGATAAATCTATCACTTGGTTTTTTAAATATTCTACTCCGTATATTATGATTCTTCATCTCCTCCAAATTCATGTCATCACTTATTGGAACTTCAACGCATACTGGGCAGCAGGCTATCATAGAGAGACTAGAGACAAACAAATGAAGGCTAGAGAAATTAGAACCCTTCACATTCTATTTATTTATATTTTCCAAGTTTCAATTATTCATCATTTCATAGGTAAACGTGGTACAGGCGGGAGGGGGTGAGTGTTATTGAGCAGAAAAGATTTGCAATATTCAATTCCTTTTCATTGAGTTAATGTTTAAGAATGCAGACTTACCACGGCAGAACATTGTAGGAAAAGCCAATCATGAGGACAGTTATCCAGTAAATAGACAAAATCTTTTGGTTCGGCTACTGCAATAAAACCTGCCTTAGTGAGTAACATTTTGCTAACAAGAGTTTCACATTCAAAAAGATGAAACCTCCAGACATACAATCTAGTAGAGCAAGTCAAATGAGGGAACAAAAACTCACAGTTACCAAGGCCACCCCAGCCTTTATTAATAATCCCCCTCTGACCAGTTCTTTGTAGTGCTTCAACAATTATTTTGGTCATCTTCTCTGGTTCTTGAACGGGCTGAGATTTTAGAAGTTTAAGTTGAATGATTTTTTTTGAAGAAGGAAACACTGGGGTTCAGGAAACTCACAAGACTACCAAATCCAATGTAGATTGGCTTTTGACCTGCCCTAAGCCAGCTCACAAGTGATTCTGGAGGTTCATATTTTGATGCAAGATCAAGGAAGCAGAACCCCACCACGTCAATCTTAGGCCCCCAGTCTGCAAAAAGGATTAACACAAGATATTTTGCTTGCAGGTGTGAATGTCACATTATTGGTAATTTACATGATGAGAAATGAAAGAGTGATAGTACACCATTTTCGTATAAACACAAAAGCGGTAAAAGGTTTTTACCTTTTGGTTTAGGAACAAGGTGAGGACTCCAAATATATCCATGTGGAATATCAAACTCAAAGCCATGTGAACCACTTAAATACGTGATTGGTCGAAGTTTCAGCTTTTTCTTCCTTAAATCATTTATCATATCCCTTATTCCTAGCCAAATCAAAGAGTCAACGATCTGATATGACAACTGCAAAATACATAGAGATTAACATTATATGAAATAATGATTTAAAGATAATCTTTATTTTTTTCCATAAAAGCATGTCTCAAAGATGCACAAGGAAAGACAACAACAACCCAGTAGAATCCCACAAAAGCAGGGTGTGGGGGGGTTTGTGTATGCAGACCTTACCCCTACTCAAAAGTAGAGAGGTTGTTTACAGGATGCAAGAGGAAAGACATTCAACTGACTAACTAACCCGGTATCCTGAAGGTTGCTTTACACGAGACAATGGATGAGGAAATTCACTAGTCGGCCTGCCAGGGCACATAAAATATGAGTTAGGTTTTATGTAACAGAAGGAAACAAAATAATATGTACACATAATGCTCCAAGGAAAATGAACAGAAAAAAATCTTTCAACACCGCCCTACAAAGACTTACGTCCATGGCATTGTGAAAAATATATGGATCGGAATCTTCAGAGCTTCAGCAACATGTGTATGCCCTGAGAATTTACTTTCCCATGTTAAAATATAATGATGCGTGGAATAAAGTATCCATAAATTCTGAAAATCTGCTCATTAAGACTACCCAGCAACCCAGCAGGGTAGTCATAAATCATAATCACGGTAAACATGCAAACAATTTCAGGCCAACAAAGGTTTACCCTTCAGATCAAATTTGCTTTAACACTCTGATTTCAAAAGCAAAACCTTTACCAGATTCACAAGAGCATAAACTTGATAGTTTAGACATTATGATAAAGCAAAACCATATTGACACAATTAGTTCCACAACAGAAGTTACCAGTTATCGGAAGAGAGGCTATCAATTTATGATGAATTCCTTACCATTTTGAATTGGTAATCAATGTGAAACATCTGTGCTGTAACAATATTTTGTGTAAGGGAATGTTTAAAAAAAACTATGTAACTCCAGATGTAAAAAAAGGTTTTCCTTTCTCTTTCAGATATTCTCAAAAAAAGATGCATTATTACAGTTCACCTACTGATATCATTCAAATAGATAGATACATACTCCTATTGACCATTCAAATACGGAGTATTAATTATTAAGTCACTTGTCAAACACTACATTGGGGTTAAAGTCTATTACTTCAAAGATGACTTGAGTAACAAGCCTTACCATATGCGGGAGGATTAGCAATAATTGCATCCGCCTTAAAAGAAACCTTAGTATCCATATCGGGGTCTTTGCATGCTGGAAGCAAAGAATATATGATATCTTTCAATTGTTTTCGTTGAACAGGTATTTCTGATGGTCCAGAAGGCAAAAATCCTTTGTTTTTAACCATGTCTGAAAAAATTTAAATTAAAAAATTAATGTTTGTAGTCCATTATACATAGCAAATTAACTTTTCAATGTTATTGTGAGGAACACTGGAAACATACATCCGGCCAGAACTTTTGGATCACCCCCAAGAGGATAGAATTCCAGCCCAGCAGTGAGGACAAATTCTTTGAAATTTGCATGAGTCGCAAGTCTGACACGATGACCATAATCCTGTATGAATACAATCATTAATTAAGTACAATATAGTGAAGAATTAAGTTCTGCCTCATCTGAAAAATGGAAAAACGCATGCATGGAAATAGTATACCTGCAAACGTTTTCCAATTGCAACAAAAGGTTGCACATCACCACGAGTTCCAACAATAAGCATTACTATCTGCATTGGTGGAATATACTGAAGTTCCATTGCATCAAGATGTTTGTCCTCCAAATCAGTGTGCATGTTTTCAGAACCATCTACAATCACTCCGACATCTCCCGGAATTTCAAATTCTACAGTTCCATCATCTTTGACTGTAGCTATTCTGTTTAATAGTTGGAGCTGCAGTGTTTCAATTCTTTATGATGTATCCTATATATGTTAGGTTTTAATAGATATTATGCCATATCTAGTAGGCATACATGTAATTATATGTTATTAGAAATAGCAAGAAATCATGTTCAGAGCATTGGAAAAATCTGAGGCTCTTGGCATTATGACATTATTGACATGGCATTCATCAAGATAAAGTTGAGTAACGAAGTAAAACAAAATCATATCGGTTCATACAGCCACACTTCAGTGCTGATAATAGTCTAAGGGACACTTTCCTTCCCTAATACCTCTATAAAAATACACATATTTGCCAGCCAATGGGAACAATGTTGTATTGAACAGCTTAAAAGAGTTCTTCTATTCAAGCTTGCTCAATTTTTAAAAATTGCTATGAATTGAATGCATAACTCAAAGAATGTGTTTCTGGGTTCCCAATTGCATGTCATTCTCACCATTCAGAGAAAGCAAAAAATGGTAACACTCCTTGACGGTTTTCTGCAGATAACTATACCAAAAGCAGCATATTTGGTAAGTGTATCATTCTCCACTAATTAATATTGAAAAACCAGAAAAAGAAGAATAAGATGAAGACAAAGAACCTAGAGCATTGTTAACTAGGTAGAGCTTGGTACTTTAAAAAAATAACTGAGCTAAAAGCCTAAAACTGTGTTTGGTAAATACTAACTGTTATCTCGCATAGAGTTCCAGAAAAAGTTCAGAATCTTTATTTCAACTAATAACCTTATGCTACAAAAATAACATCTTTTTATTCGTCTCTCATTAAAAATCTAATTCCTTTTTTATGTGTTTATATTTATCAACCTACAGATAATTCAAATTTCAGATGCTAGATTGTTGCAAACAACTTCTCGATAAGCATGCCAAATAGAGTCTAAAACATAGCTTGCACAATGCTCCTCCACTACAATGTTCTGAGGCAATTTTATTAGCAGGATGCCCTCCACTTTAATAAAAGGAAAGAACACATATGTTGTGTTGTTCCCACAAGATCCTCTTCATAAACTTCTGTCATGGATGTTTGAATGTACTTGCTTGAGAACATTTGAACTGTTTTGAGGTAACATAATATATGTTAGAAAAGTTTTTTTTAAAAAAGTAGGTTGTGCTCGTTCAATCCAGTTATCATGAAGAAAATCATTGAATCACACTCGGAGTTTGCTAGCTTATTTGGTCTAAGCATTGTTACACGCAAGGAATAACAGGCATTAATGCAACAGAGGCACAAGATTAATTTTGACAAATCTAATCTTCTTTATGCATACATTCAATTCTAGTTTATTGGCAAATTTGTTCTTAGTTTCCTTTTTGCATTAGATTTCTATTTCTAGGTTATCACTCTATTATTTAGTTTACAAAATGGCTAAATCTCATATTTTAACAATGATTGTAAAGCTCTTCTATAAAAGAAGAGTTTACTTGAAGAGGAAAGAATTAAGAAGAAATCTATTAATCTAAGGAGGAGATTCCCTAAAACGCCACTTAGCTATCCTGCATTCCTATGTATTCCCCCTTCTTTTTCAAAGCATGAACAATTTCAGTCTGATGCATACAGGCTGCAAAAAACAAGGGACCCTGCAAACCCTTCAAGCCGTTTACATCACCTATTAACAAGAGTTAATACCCAGAAAGGCATAAACACAACAAGCAACTTATACATTAAAAATTGTGAAAACTTAGGTCCATGCATCTTATTTGTGAGTTGTGACAACCAAACAACAATAAATGTTCATCAAATTGCATCCAATCTGGTCCTTCTTAAGAGACGGAGGCATATTGAAGTCTGTACTTCTTATTTGTTCAAATGACCAATTAACATTCAGACGGAGGCATATTGAAGTCTGTACTAGCTTGAGGTGGTGTATTGATAGTCTTAACATTCAGAGGGGTGGACCAAGGGGGAGGAGAAGTAGGGCAATGGCCCAAGGCTCAGAAGTATGAGCATATATGTCTTATCACTTGATGACTTGAACATTATTGTATTACAATTCTAACATCATTTCCATGCTCTCTCTAATAACTATAAACTACTCCCATCATCCGAGAAAAATGTTCCACTTACAGTTTATGATGTTTGACGGGAGTTATTTTTAATTCAATTAATTTGAAAATTGGTGTAGAATGAACAAATAAAATTTATATATATTTAAAAATTGCACCAAAAGTTCTACAAAATAAGAGGTGGCTTGACGATTTTAGTTCATCAAATGATCATTTAAAATATCTTAGAAAAGAAAAGGAGATATAGTTTGACCCAGGAAATAGTAAAGTAGTAAAGTGAAACCTTGTTTTGGGACATGAGTATTGGATATTTGCAACCATAAATATAATGATAATAGAATATTATTGAAGTGTCATAAACTTGTACCTTCTTTTGAACAGGAAGCTTGTTGTCAAAAAGTTTTGCTGCTTCTTCAGCACATATATTATGATGCCTTTGCCTCTCAGTTTTTGACCTTCCCAACTTAGGAGATCCAGAAGGTGACTTAGGCTTATCAGGATTTGAAATCTCAGGATGTTTCATGTTTGCTTTAAGAAATTCCATACCACTAGTCCCTGAGATATTTGTAGCTATTTTCACAAAGCATAATTCATAAGCATCAAAATGGAGTCATGTTCACTTGACAATTTAGCACAATACTCTGGAAAGTGGTCTATCATCTATGTGTCATAATACACTGTTTTAAACTGATCGAAAAAAACATTGCTGAAATGAAAAAAAAAGTTTGATAGATTAAAAAAATAATTGAAAGACTACAAAACGCTCAGATCAAAGAGCTACAACTTGTAGCCTCTTGATTTCTAAGTGTTTTGGAAGCATTTTGAGCTTTACCAAACACATAATGCCAGTGCTATTAAATGGAAAAAGGGTTTTAGAATGAAAAAGCTCCAAAATGCCAATTCAAACGCCCCCTAGATATGGCAATAAGCTTTACACTTTGCCTTCAAAGCAAGTGAGTCTTAATATTCATTCAGTATCAACAAATAAATAACTGTCTACTAAATAATCCGGAGCTCGGGTGGGTTTGAGCCACAATACAGTGTATAAATAAAGCATTTAGCATAAACTTTTGAAAATAAGCAGAACTAATAGGCTATGTGCATGGCAGTAAGCCAGGCTTGATTCATTTTCTGAAGCTTGACATTTCGCCACGAGTTCGTCAAATACAAGACAGAATACTAACGGCAACTAATTCCAAGCAAATTTCTTCGACTCGGTACTCACAATAACTCCAGAAAACATGATAATACCGTAGAGAAGCTACGAAACTAACCTGCAGCATCATCAAGTGCGCCGTCCTCAATGGCCACGGAGACTTCAGAAGAGCTCGAATGATCGGATTTCCGCGCTGAATCCGACATCGGCGGCTCTTCAGCTACCTCCGGCGAACCTTGCTTCTCCTCCGGCACTCGCATCCGATCCAGATCCACACAGCCTTGGTCTACTGCCAATTACAGGACAAATACTTAAAGTGAACGAAAGAATCTCGCAAAGAGGAACTCTCTGGAGTGATGAAGAGAGGAGGTTACAGTGAGAATCTCGAAGAATCAGGTCACGTTCGTTTTTTTCTTCTTTTGAGGATGGGAAAAGAGAAGGTCACGTTCCATCGGTCGGCGGTGGGGAAGGGGGGTGAATGGGTGATACTCCCTCCCCCAAATTGATTAGAAATTTTTTTTGTTACATTTGAATGAATACTCATTATATTCATTTTTTATTATTTTTTTAACATATTTGAATTTTACAAAAATAAAGTATTTAATTATTTGTATATTAATATTCATTTGTTCAAAAATAAGTATTCTGTTACTCGAAAATTAGTACTCGAATGAACGGGAAATGTCGTAAAACCGATTGTACATTTTATTTATTAAGTTATTTTCATTGATTGTTTGATACAATAAAATATTATTGTCACATCTTATTTTTTGGAACTTTTGTCGTAGTTATTTAGTATGAAAATTTTATTAATTATTCTTAGACCAATTTTAAAATAAAATCATTTTAAAAACTGCATGGTTTACCTCATTAAAAAAATTATAATTTAATTTTGGACGAAGTGAATTATTCTACAGTTTTTGTTACTGGATTGTGGTAGATACATAGTAAATAAAAAGTCAAGGTGGTTTGTCGGAATGTAATTTTTGCAAATGTTTTAAATAGTTTTAAATCATTACAAAAATAAATCATTAATTAAAAAAACACTCCATAAATATTTAAATATTCAAATAACGTGTTTGTATGTTTTGTGACCATGTGTTTATAAGTCTAGCATTTTTTTCATTTGAAATCAGAGTTTAGTGTTGTGTCCTCATTCATCACCCATTTGAGGGAGTCGTAGTGATTTCAAATGGATCGGGATTTTTTATAATTTATTTAAGTTGATTTACAATATTTACAAACAAAAACTATAGTACTCTGTAGTCTTCCAAAATCGGAAACATGCAAAGGAAGAGCGGTACTCACAACTCCAAAAGATTTCAAAGTATAGTATAACATACGTTATAGTCAAAAAACCTAGACTTTCGATAGCTAAAAAATAGAGGTAGAGAAAGTTCATATTATATATGACTCAAAATTGTTTGAGTCTCTAAGCTAACTACAGAATTAGAAAATAACATCCAAATTATAAATTTCTTAAATCCAAATACGGAGTATTTTTTAAAAGTGAATACTATTTTAGAGGGAGGGATAGTAATTATTTATTCAAAAAATCTACCTATATATGAGTAAAACCCAACTAAATTGCCAAAATAGGAGTTACTTAGTTTAATCCCCTAAATAAGAGTGAAATGGCATTGTGATATAAGAATGATTGATTGCAATGCAATAGGAAAGTGATGGGAGTGTAATACGACATATGATTAGTCAACCGACGGTGGACCACCGGTCAACTTCAGCGACTGATGGCAGCACTCTCGTGATTGGCAACGTCAAGTGGTAGTGTGACAATGATATTATGGAGATGATAATATGGCAACTCGTGAGTGTAGCAATGTATCTATAATAGTGTTAACTTTTTTATTTTGATTTTAAAAAAGTTAAGAGCATTATAATATTTTTATATTTTTTCACTTTTATCGAAAGTTCTCTTTAATTTATTCTTGCTTTGCTATTATGCCCAAAGAGCTTAGGGTGTATCTTGGTGCCCCAAGTGTATTGCTGAGCATAACGTCTAGAATCGAAAAGATTGATCGGGATAGACTAGAATTGGGACCGGAAAAGATGGGACCGGTGTGGTCCTCGTTTGGTTGGAAATAAAAAAATGAAAAAGAATAAAACGAAAGAAACCAGAACATTTATGAAATTACATGGATTAGTTTCGTTGGAAGGAAAATAGCATGAAATGAAGAAAAAAATCAATTCTTTCGTTAAATAATTCTAGAGAAATATACCTAAATAAGACTAAAACATAATGACTTTCACAATATAGGACCATATGTTTTTATTTCCCAATGTAGGACTTTTGGTCATTATCATGTAGTTATTATTCAAAAAATGTCCATCATTACTAGACATTATTCTTCCCACTAGGTCATTATTAAGTCATATTTAGAGAATAAAAAAGTTTAAGTCCTACATTGGAAAAGACATTATGTTTTAGTCCTATTTCGTGCAAATTTTACATAATTCTATCAGCATTTACATTTTGACTACTTTTGAGCACAATGCGAAGTAAATATGTTTCATTAATCAAACACATCATTCAGCATTTTGGCAAAGTATAAGGGTCCGTTTGGTATACAGAATTGACAGAATTGGAATTGAATTGGAATTGAAATTCCATTGAAGTCAATTCCATAGAATTGAATTCTGCCAATTCCAATTCATTTTTTGCACTATCAATTATAAATTCACATAATTTTTGTACTATCAAACACCAGAATTGGAATTGAAGTCCTCAATTCCAATTCCATAATTTAAATTCCGTGTACCAAACATGGCCTAAATGTTTTTAAAACAATTCTAAAACAATAGCATCATTTGGATATAAAGGTTTTGTCCAATATTTTTTAATTGAAAAATGTCTAAAAATCAGCAATAATGCTAATCAAAATGCTACTCCGTATTTAGCAAACAGTCATTATGTTAGATTGACCGGTACGGCGGTCAGGTAATCGGCCAAAAATTCAAATGCTCAAATGCTATTATTGTGACACACTAAATTTTTTTTTAGTAGTGTTGGGATTTAGGTCCCTTATCATATTTGATCGGGCCTAGAAATTTACCTAAAAATTGTCTCACGTAGGACTTAAAAAGCATGTATTCAGTCATAGATAATTATACGTTGAACGTTTTACCAATGTTGTGTAATGATTTTGTTTACAATTTTTTAATGTAAAACAATATTTGATATTTCAAACATTTCAATGTATAATATTTGCATATATTAATCTATACTCAAATACCCAAACATAATACAATTTGAAATTCTTATTCTGTAACAAAGTTTTGTCCGTGCAATGCACCAGTATGATTCTAGATTATTTCTAGTCTACTTGAAACAATGAAAAACTGCCAAAAAGTGATGTAGTTTACAAAATTCGCGGGGTTCCGGTGAAATTACATAAAAATTTATTGGTAAGATGGATCGTCTTCTCCAGCAGTCCATTAGCATTCCACGTACAGAGCACCTCCTTACTATATGTATATATATAGACCTCCGCAGAGACAGAGAAGCTCAAGAAATTGGTTGAAACTTGAAAGAGGAGGAAATGGAAAAGGCTATTTACAGACAGAAAGTTCTTCTGGAACACCTTCAGTCCACTGCTCCTCTTCCTGATCACTCCCATGGGTCTTCTCTTTCTGTAAGCAAAACACAAACTTTTACATAATTGTCCAAGTTTTCTTAAACATTTTAGGGAGTGGAACTATTTAACTTCATTTCTTTTTTGAAACCCAGAATTTGGTTTCATTACCTGGCCCCTTTGTTGCTATTCTACATGATATATTGAGATCTTTTTTGTTGGGCAGTCATCGGTATGTTTAGCAGCAGGCGATAGTTCGGCTCATCGCAGGACTCCTGCAGGTGGAGATGATGTTGTCATTGTGGCGTAAGTTTCTTATCTTTCACTCATTCTTAATTTTTTTGACCCGTTTCGTTTTCTGGTTTAAATTATGGAATGCCTAAAGGGTATAGTTGTCATGTATGTTAGGGCGTACCGGACTCCCATATGCAAAGCAAAGCGAGGAGGATTCAAGGACACATTTCCCGACGATTTGCTTGCCCCCGTTCTTAAGGTCAAGTCCCTCCTCTGCCATGGCTGCTGCATTTTCATCCCATGTTTGAAATGGATCAAGAAGTGTTTTTTTATAGGTGAAATGGGCTATTGATTGGGTGAGAGAGTTATATTTCACTTGTACTAATGTTCTAATGCAGGCTGTCATTGAAGCAACTAACATAAACCCTGCTGAAGTGGGAGATATTGTTGTTGGTACTGTCTTGGCCACTGGCTCTCTGAGAGCAGCTGAATGTAGATTGGCTGCTTTTTATGCCGGTTTTCCAGGTAATATTTCATCTCTCTCTCTCTCTCTGTGTGTGTGTGTGTGTGTGTGTGTATACACACACACATGCACGCTATATTTACTAAGTCTGTTTGTATGTTTTTTTCTGCCTCCAGAAACTGTCCCTGTAAGAACTGTAAACAGGCAGTGTTCCTCTGGTCTTCAAGCTGTAGCTGATGTAGCTGCATCCATAAAAGCTGGGTTCTATGATATTGGTATGATTTTCTTTCTAAATTCTAACTACTTTGTATTATGTTTGGATCTCAGATAATGCCAGGGAAAGTGATTTTTCTTATGTAATGCAAATGGATTTGAAATATTATTCATTAGATTTTTTTCAATATATAATTTTTTGTCTGTAATGTACAGGTATAGGGGCAGGATTAGAGAGCATGACAGTTGACAATATCAGCAGACCTCAAATTGCTAATCCAAGAGTATGCCAAATTGTGTTTTTCCAAGCAATGGGTCTTTGAAACTTTCAATGCCTCCAGAGAACAAAATTTAATGTTCTTGTTTCAATGTGTGTTTTAAAAGGTGAATGATTTTGCACTTGCCCAAGATTGTCTTATACCTATGGGGATTACTTCTGAAAATGTTGCACAACGTTACGGAATCACAAGGCAAGAACAAGATTATGCTGCTGTAAGTGTCACATTTTTTTTGTCTAACTTCCCAAGAATTTCTTTTGCAAATGAGCTTCTAGCTTTTGCTTTCTATTGTCATTAGGTTGTCTCTCACCAGAGGGCTGCCGCTGCAACTGCTACCGGGAAGTTCAAAGAAGAAATCATCCCTGTTTCTACAAAGGTTTGATATCTTATACTACTTAAGTAAGCTTTAATATGTGATTGTAAACCTTTCTACTAATATATTCAATATTATATTATAAAAAAATAGATTATAGACCCTGCAACTGGAATGGAGAAGCCTGTAGTCATATCTGTTGATGATGGCTTTCGCCCTAATGCAAATATTGGGGACCTGGCTAAGTTAAAGCCTGCTTTCAAGAAGGATGGATCAACAACTGCTGGTAATTGATCCCTAATTAACCATGATTAGTTCCTGACTAGACGGGCTATCGTGGCTAATGACACTGTTTGGCTTGACCGTGGATGTGATTTTCAGGAAACGCTAGCCAGGTTAGTGACGGTGCAGGAGCAGTTCTTCTTATGAAGAGAAGTGTTGCCATTCACAAGGGGCTCCCAATACTTGGTGTATTTAGGTAACTCTTGCCTACAGAACTGATCTTTGGAACAGGTTCAATCTTGCAAAGATTTTTCTTATATTCAATTTTTTGTTCTTTCTATTTAAAGGAGTTTTGCTGCTGTTGGAGTGGATCCTGCTGTGATGGGGATAGGACCAGCCGTTGCAATTCCAGCTGCTGTAAAATCAGCTGGACTAAAACTGGATGATGTTGATTTATTTGAAATCAATGAGGTTTTTGTTTTTGTTTTTTTAATATTTCAACGTATCGTTCTTCGTCTTCTCTATGAGAATCATTTTAATGATTTGCTAGTATTCATATGCAGGCATTTGCATCTCAATTTGTATATTGCAAAAAGAAGCTTAATCTTGATCCCGAGAAAGTTAATGTCAATGGAGGTGCAATAGCCCTTGGACACCCGTTGGGGGCAACAGGCGAGTCATATAAGTTTTTTAACATATCATTGTCCTTTCATACTGTGGTAAACTCTGTGGTTCAAGTGTTTTAGATGAATGATGAAAAAACTAGGGCAGAAGACACTGATTCATCTCATAAAATTTCAGGTGCACGATGTGTTGCTACATTACTCCATGAGATGAAGCGTCGGAGAAAAGATTGTCGCTTTGGTGTTGTCTCAATGTGCATAGGTACTTTTTTTTAGTATAACAGTTGCATGCCCTGTCTTTTTAAGTCAGTTTTGTTCGTTCAGTGACCGTACCATGCGCTCTCGTCATATTTTGAGCTGCAGGCTCAGGGATGGGCGCAGCTGCTGTTTTTGAAAGAGGGGATTGAGCGGATGGTCTCTCCTACGCCAGGGCCATCAACCCCACAAATTCTCTCTCTAAAGTTTGCTAAATAATAATGTTATGAAATTGTGTTGTCCACAGATTTTGAAACACCCATTTGATTCCATCTTTGTATTTTGACACAAACATTTTGAATAAATTTGACAGCCTTTAAAGTGCTTGCAATGTTTGATTCTATCGTTCCTATCTTGTAGCTGTATTTAGTAATTGTATTGCTTTGAATAACGTACGTCCCCATAAACAATGTAGTAAAGGCATGAAATGTAAACTCTGTAGCAGCAATGCTTATTCCTTGGTGGTGAAGATTTAACTCATTTAAGTTCAATAAATTAAAACATAATGCATTAAAACCAACTGTGCTACACCAAGAATCATAACAAGTTGGCATATGGAGTACTATTACCAGAGTGTTACAATTCTTTGTACAGCAACTGAAACCTTGGTATCCTCTCGGGAGGAAGGGGACATGATACAATCAGCTTCCCTTTCATCGCTCCTCTGTATATTGCCTACATAACCAAAAAACATCTTCGGATATTATAATTCTAAGAATTAGGCTATGTTCTCCTCAACTTATTTTTTTATTTATTACTTATTCTTATTGGAATCAGAACAGAAATAGCTTTAAATATAATTATATTCAGACCAAATCAGAACTTACTCTAAACAGATCAGAACCAATCACATCAGGCGAAAAGAACATGGCTTTAAGGAAGTGAAATTTGCACTAAATAGGACTAAAACATAATGACTTTCCTAATCTAGGACTTAAACTTTTTTATTCCCTAAATATGACTTAATAATGACCTAGTGAGAGGAATAATGTCCAGTAATGCTAGACATTTACTTGAATAATGACTAGTTGATAATGACCAAAAGTTCTACCTTGGGAAATAAAAACATATGGTCCTATATTAGGCAACTCATTATGTTTTAGTCCTATTTAGGTAAATTTCTCCTAAAAAATCAATCATTCTTCCTTCAACACAAGCTATCCCAAACACACCCTTAATTGATGTTTAATACGAAGTACTTCCTCTGTGTCTATATCTCTCTGATTTTGTATAGCCATAAATAGGCAGTGCAAACAGATTGAGGAAAAAAACTTCATTTGCTTTTATTTAAGGCATGAAAAATCAACATCTTGCAGTACGAGCAAAAGAGATGATCTTGCAGTACGGGCAAAAGAGAAACTCACAAGCCTCATCTCAAAAACAATAAAAAAATAAAATAAATGTAAGCTTCAGTAATGTAGTGAAGTTGCATCTTACCTCCACAACATCAATGAAGTCCTGTTTTGTGATAAATGCCCCAATCCACTTTGTATGATCTGCACTCCTGTGGAACACCCACACCAGATCATTATAGAAGATACACACTTGACATTTATTTACTTAAATAAAACAATTTTATTCATTTTATTCCGCAAAACCAGAGAGAATGAGATGATAATGGGGGAGGCGTACCCAGAATCCATCTTCATATGATGAGCATTGAAGAAGAACACAGTAGAAGGAATCAAAGTGATATCAAAATACTTCACGTAAACCTGCACTCCCTCGGCATCGAAATCGGCCAGCGCCACCGTCGCGAACTTGGAGACCTCCGCCGCGGATTTATAAAGCTGCGCTCGAGAATTCATTTCAATCAATCAGAGATACCGCCAACATGAGTTCGATTCAGAACTCGTAATTGTTTGTGCGCTACATGAAATTGACCTAATTGGAGACTATGAAACGCGTATAATCGATCACGAAGTCTCTCGAGAAACAGAACAAACATAAATTGGAGGAAGAAAGGCGGAGGGCGTACGACGTCGTCGAGATGGAGGCAGACGGAATCCGATGAACGGCCAAAGCGGAGGACGAGAACCTTATCGACGGTGTCTCTGATGATGGAATCAATTTGTTGCTTCGTCGTCAACGTCCTAAGTAGGTACTCCATCTTCTCCACAAAATTTCTAGAGTTATTTCTTCATTTTCTTGGTCTTCCACAGATAAATAGTTCTTGAATTTTGTAAGAGAATTATTAGGAGTTACTATCTCCGTCCCACTCTCTTTGTCCACTTTTGACTTTTGGAACTGTTCATCTAAGTACTTTGACTCATTGAATTCTCTCAATGTGTAAGCCTAAATATAGTCATGTGTAATCTTGTTTGATTTGTCTTAACATATAGATTATTAATATATAATTTTTATAATTTTTTAATATATAAATTACAAAATAAAATGGATTAAAGAAATGCATTGGATGGTGTGCCAAAAGGTAAGTGGACAAAAAGAGTGGGACGGAGGGAGTAGCATGAAGAGTTTTCTAACACCTCTGGGTGGACGAATCAAAACAGTAGAAATGGGTCAAAACGTTCGAAGACAGAACATTGTCTTACTTTGTTGGAGCATGCTAAGTCTACCAAAAAATTTTGTACCCCATTTATGCACCAAAAGTATGCATTAACATTTTGATGGTTCACGCTGACATAAAGTGTTGGTGCGTTAACAAAAGTTTACACTGACACAAAATTTTGGTGTGTTAACAAAAATTAGCATTACACCAACACAAACTATTGGTGCAACCCTGCCGTTTACAAAATGGAGTACAAATTCTTGGAAGACAAATAACATTATACTAGCTTGTTTGTTTCATTTTGGGACCAAGATTATTCATAACATGTGAGAATGTCCTAATTCAAACTTTTTAATAAATGTAAACATAAAAATTTGCAATATGTTAAATTTTAAAAGTACTCTGCAATTTTAAAACTTTATATATATATATATATATATATATATATATATAAATAAATAAATTTTCAATTAAAAGTACAATAAAACTCATACATCTATTTAAAAAATAACAGTTTAGTTTACGAATCTTATGAAATTTGATTGAAAAAAAATAATGTGAACGGATATTTAGATTTAAACATAAATGCACGGGACAACGAGACGAAATGAGATACTTTTTATTTCTCCCGGTCTCGTTCCATTCTAAGGCTTTGTTTGGGAACCGCGTTTTCGATTAGCATTTTGGATAAAATTTTAATGATGTAGATTAATTCCGAAAACGCTAACTCTATAAAGGCTACCGTCGGATAGCTTTTTCAAAACGCTAACGCTAATAGCTAACGCTGATGCCAAACGGGGCCTAAATCAGTTCGGGACAAATTCGGAGCAAAATTTGTCATCCCAAATAAGACGAGACATATAAATAGGACTAATGTTTACTCCCAATCCATTGCTTGAAAATAATAAAAAAAGATGAGACTGGTGGCTCTGAATAGGGATCGTCCCAACTCAATCCATCTCTCCTTCATTTATCTATTCAAATAGATGTGACTCTAATATAGGACCTTCCATTGACGAGGAAAGTCCTACTTCATTCCCAAGCAAAGCTATAGTATGAGACAAAAAGATGGAACAAACATGTGCAAAGTGAGACAAAATAGGGAGGGAGACTAAAAAATAAAATGGGGCAAAACAGTGGGAAGATTGAAAAACTAATAATGATAACAGGCTTAACAGCAACACAGGGTTCATAAATTAAAAAAGATACTAAAACATAGGATCTTGACAACAATAATAACAGCAAGAAGGGCTTCATAAATTTAAAAAGACACTAAGACCCAGGATGTACAACTTTAATTGATTCACAGATGTAAGAATAAAACCGAAGGACAAAGCGAGTATTCACAAATCTTGTAGGTAGAGAATTTGGGACGGATCACGAATGTAACAGGAGACGCGAACACCCCAATCGACCTCAATCATTTGTCCAAATCCGAACAGATGGCATCAAGTTCTTCGGATTAGAGGCTTTCTGCACATTGGCGGGGCACGATTATAAGATAATTATAAGAAAAAAGTCTGGCCCTGGCAACTAAGAACGTCTCACCAAGAGATACTAAAGGACCCGTATGGTACCACCACGGCCAGTGACTTGTTTGGCTGAAACGAATTCTGAAATGAAAAGTTTCTGTAAAAAACAATTTCAGCCAAACATAAGTCAAAGGCAGAGACTTATTCAGCTCTGATGAGTAGAATAAGCCGGTTTATGCTACCACACGGGCTCTAAAGTTGAGAGGGCACTACCAGAGTGTAAGAATAATGCCAATCTTCACATCAACCGACGCCTCTGTCGTCTCCTCCTCCTCCCCCTATCAGATGGGGCCACATGATTCATTCTATCCGAGTCAGCTGCATCGTCTTCCTCAGTTCTCCCTTCATCTTGAAGACCCAAGAGATTCTCTCCCCAAAGAAATCGGCGCCTTGGAAAAGATCCGTTTGACCGACGGTTCCTTGACAGAGTTCTTGACCTATCACCACTCCTCCTCCTCATATTAGACATTGAACCCATTGACCCAAACATCTGGACCAGGAAGAATGTACTCATCAAACCGTCACCCCTTTCCCTATAACTTCCTGTTGATACCCTATCTCCTCCATTCTCAATCACATAATCCCCAAACACCATAGCACCTGGCATAGCAGTTCTAATGGCACTGATGATGTCATCATATTCTCTCTGTTCTTCCAGGCTTCTCCAAGCTCTCTGTCTTGATGGATCAACCTCAGTTGGACGGACTGTGGGGTGAGCCCTCCTGGCATGAAGGCGCAGTTCCTTATAATTACCTACATACGAGCATGATTCACGGGAACAATTTCTAAGCTTCAAATTCAGGTGGTTTCTAGCTTCTTCAATTACCTTCCATCCAAACACGTCCCCACGACATAGAGGGCATTTAAGGTTCAATTTTGGTTCCGATGTATAATTATTATCTGAAAAATCAATTCTATTTGGTTCTGATCCTCCGGCAATTCCACCTGTAACCAGTGTGGGTGGAGAAGGGGGAAAGTGAAAATTCTTTTCAGGGACTTTCTTGAAACGGTCCAGACAATTTGAGTGCCTATAGCTTGTGTCACAAATGTAAGATCTACACCCTTTATCATGAGAACTACAAAGAAGAAGAACAGCATTGTGTGGATGATCCATACATATAGGGCATGAAGCTTCATCCCATTCCTTATAGAGAAGAGCATGATGCTTATCTGCCTCTTCTGGCATGCTTTGTTCCCTAGTATCCATCTAGGTACACCCGTAACGTGTGTTCAACTGTTACTATCACTAAAACCATTAATATTTCAATGTTCTACAAATTTTTATTTGTAATTTCAAAACAGAAAAACTACACAGCAACTGTGATACCCTACATGTTGATGCTACCGAAAATTTAGTCTTATGCTACATATCAGAGAAGAAAAACACAGTTTCAAAGCTAGTTGTTGTAACATCAAATTTATACATTCGACACTCTATGAAATTAAAATAGAGAGTGAAATTCATCATTGCACTAAAAATATCCTTGTGTAAAGATCCTGAAATTAGAAAAATGAGATGGCAACAGGACACAGATGCTTATACAAAATGCCAAATTTTAGGAATATCAGAAGGTGAAAATCATGATACTACACAACATCATTGTTCCCCTTCCATTGGCGGTGGGGTGGGGTGACAAGTCACAACCCTGCAACAAGGAAGTATTTGCCTAAATGATCATATTCTAGATGACATAAAGTTAGCCATCTCTCCTGAGTTACCTTCTTCGTGCATAAAGCAAGAAAAATTTTCAGTTGCCTGCTCTTTCCAGGATGAAAATCGCTTAAAGAGTGAGTACTTACCTCTCATCACACGAGGACATTCAAGTTTTGGACTAGAGCTTGACATATATCAACCCAACAAAGTGAGATATGATGATTAAAAGCCATAAACATGCTTTGTGTGTAGTGAGCCAGTGACTTAGTAATTATGTGTAAAAAGTATTTCTAAACAGAAAGCATGAAAATGTGTGAAAATAGGCCAAATAGTTGATGCAAGAATAGCGTGTAACCTAAAAAAGAAGATAAACCTCTAACATATGCAAATATTACATATTTTAGCATACTTACCAAGAAAAACACCAAATATTGTGGTATCTTCAGTATCTTATACACTGGACAGAATTACTACAGGATCCTTATTCCACTTTACCGCACACTGAATTTCACCCTTCAAGCAATAAAGTAGTATAGTTCAAAAAAATCATTTATTGCAGAGTATACAACAAGATGTTTTTATCTTGATTCCCCATCACAAGTCTTACAGCTCATTTCTAACCATAGTGCTTATGGTCATTATTCCTAGAATTATTTTAATGGAAAACACAAAGAGAAGCCATTTGAAAATATGACTCATGAAAGCAGTATATGTGCAGCAATGATGGATCAGTTATTTTTCTTCAGAAAAAAATGGGGCAATGCATATAACTATACAGAGTATAAAAAAGTTCACAAGGGCATCACCTAAGCCCTTTCAAGTCCAAAACATTTGGAAACTGAATAAATTCTAAACATCCTTTGATCTAAATCAAGTAATCAATATTTTTAAATTGTAGAGAACAATGATAATGAGGAAATAAAGAAGATAAGGATGAAGAATTTGCTCCATACAATTAAAAAAATCTCATAATAGCGTCGTTAAAAATTTTCTTTGTAAAGTCATTAAAATGATTGGCAAAACAAATATTTATTTCTACGATCAAGATAAGAATAAAGAATTTTCTCCATTCCAATTCATGATGTTCATTCCGAATCAATAATTAAATCTATGAAAACAAGATCTGAACCGAAAATTATAATTTCAACCCCTTACATAATATACAGATCAAAGAGATCAATCGTTAATTGGTGCATAGATGATAACACACACGAAGATAAGCACATACCCATGAAATTAAAGTAAATATTACGGTTAACCAAATAGATCAAAGTTAGGGCACAGCAAATGAAAATTGGAAAATGAAGGGTAAATGGAATTACAATCAGATTGAAATTGAGTTGGCATCAGGAGTTTGATTCATGTAGATTTCGCTGCAATTGTTGAATTCAATACATTAAACATGGTAAATTATAAGTTAAGAAAGGAAATTTGGGTGAAAATTGAAGAAATCGTTCTGCGAAATAGGGTAGAAAGGGGGAAGTTGGAGACTTAAGGAGAGAACAATGAAATGAAAAAAAGGCACGGATGGGAAAATCTGTCTCTGATCGAACCGGTAATAGAAACTTATCAGGTTCCAATGGTGCCTCAGGATAAAATAATGCCTCCGTCCGTGATTATATGTTTAGTGTTAACTTTTTTGGATCAATCGTTAGTTAAAAAATATATATTGTATATTAATTGGGTAAAATGATATTTTGAAAATATCTGATATCATAAATTTAATAAAACTATTTTTGTATCAATATCTAATATCATTTTTATTTAATTTGATGTCAAAGTTTATCATTTCTAACCGAAAAAAGTCAAAAGTTGACAAATACTCAGGCACGAAGGAAGTTCTCGTATCATACTTCATACTCTCCAAAAATAGAATTTGAATTAAACTACTTTTACACACACACAAAAAATGTACTCTAAATTGTGCATCACGTGTTTGTACATTCGTTCTTCTTGTTCACGCTAAGAGATAAAATATTAGTGTAAAATTATTTTATCGCATGAATATTTGTGCTAGTGTGAATCTTTAAAATATTGGTATATAACTTTGACATATAATTTTGGAGTATACACCTTGGTGTAGCCCTATCATGTGTGATTGAATTTTACATTTCCACTTATCAGAGTTGACCGATCTTATTTTTAGAAAATTAAAAAAAATAAGACTATTTTATATTACGCGATAAGTAATGAAAGTCAATGAATAAAGTAAATAAAATTTGGCTATGTAAATAAAGTCTGAAGAACTTATTTACATGCAGAAGTACTATTTTCCTTTTTGGTCCTACCGGCTCTTTTAAAATCGGAAAGGTTATAGAGTCATTGATGTGAGGAGACACTACGATGCCACTACCTTTTCTGAAAATATACGGTGCTCCATTTACGAAATTGGTGGTTCCTACCTTTCCTAACTTCGTGGTAAATTAAACAATCACACTCCAGTCCGACTCGACTCCACACTCAATCCCATAAATTTCACCTTCCAAATTTTGTAGATTTTGGGGTCAGACTTTTTGACATCAAAGACAACTAAATTTGGAGGAAAAATTGATGGGTTGGGTTAGACTTGGCAAAAAAATGACCCGACCTATTTTTGACCAAAAAACCTAACCCGAAAGTACTGGTTTTTGAACAAAAGTTTTGTTGATCGAACCCAAAGTTGGTCGAATCCAAAATGACCCGTTAAAAAGGTCAAACCTGACCTGACATGCTAATGTAAGAGTTTTTCAAAATCATATATTTTACTATCAAATAAAAATGTTATAAAAATAAGGTTATAATTATATTTCTTCATATTACTATTTGTTTTTTTGTTTATAAATTTATATTTTTGGACAAAAATTTAAGGAAATTGCATAATTACGTTGCTTTTTCTGAAAAATAAGCATTTTTAAATTCTTTATATTGATTTAAATACCTAAAAATAATTTCAGAATTTAAAATAAAATAATATAATAGATTTAATACATTTTTTTTGATATTTTTGATGGTCTATGAAATAGTCTCTTTGTCTAAAATTATTGACACTCTTTGCGGTCCTCTAGGAACCATTAATGATGCTCTTATAAGAGTCCATCTTAATATATAAATTATGTCCACATGTTTTAACTTTTCAAGAACTTACTTAAATACCGCAAATTTAAATTGTGAATTCCTTTTAAAAAAGATGCACCAATGCATTGTATATCCATGTTTGTGTTTATATTTCCGCCACTGGCCTTGAATAATTGCCTCATTGTAATTATGAAGATTTACTTATAAATTAGGGTATGTTCTTTTTGTCTAATCTGATTTAATATAATTTTATTTTATTACCCCTCACTCACCTCATTTAATACACTCCACCCATTTTTCATTAAGGGTATTATGGTAAACTTTCACCTTTTTTCAACTCTCCTTAAAAACCACCAAAAGTCAAATGAGAACATCTTAGGCGGACGGAGGGAGTATTAGTTATTCACTATGTGTTTGTTTACACTTCAAATTAGTGAGAACGGATGACACTGAGCACCTACGATTTTGATCCAGAGTCAACTAAACTTATGGGTGTGAACTGCATTTGTACTGTGTTACTTCTCAGCACAAGTGCCAGGAATCAAACTCGGGTCTTACTTCCTTAGCACTCTTTGTCTTGCCAACTGCGCCACGTCCCGCCGCATGTTTTAGGTTAGTGTGTTGGTGTTGGTCTTGATGATGAATGTTAAAAAGAAAAATACAATAAATGGGGGAGAGAGTTTATCCAACATATAGAATAGTGGGAAATTCATATAATTATGAGAGAGTAAGGCGAACGTGGACGAGAAGCAGTCCAGATGCACCAGTGTATATAGCCTGCCTTTTTGGTTGGGCAACCACTACTACTCACAATATATATGCAGATACATATATATAGAGACAGGCAACCCCTCCGCAAATTGAAGCACGCAATTAAGCAGTTCCCATTTTATTATCATCTTCAAACATATACAGTCCAAGTTATATTCTTAATATATATGTATAGATAGATATATACATATACACACACGTCATTACTGCACGATAAAAACAATTAATTAATTAATTAATTCCCCTTCCACAGTAAAACATTTTTTGAGTGTACTATATTCACTTTAACTCTGAGAAATTAGAGAGCTAATAAGAAGGTTAATTAATTTATGGAGATGGAAGCAGCAAACCTGCCGGGAAAGACGTATTTAATTCATGCGGCCGCAGCAACTCCGCCCAAGGTTCCTTCCGGCGATGGTCCCTATGTTCGAGCAAAACATGCCCAGGTAATTAAACATACTTTCTTCCTCCAGGTAAAATCTCGTATCTTTTGAAATTATTTTATTTACAAAGTGTTACGCCAATATTAAATAAAAATTTACTCACATATATTTAAGAGTAATTTCCCTAATTGATCATTTATAACAGCAGGGTTTCCATATTTAGTCCTTTATTATCAAATATTATCCTCGTAGTCCTTTTTTTAAGGGTGTCTTTCCACACATGGTCCTTTTTTTATCTTCTGCCATGTTGGTGTTAATTTAAAAGTTAAAAGTATAATTTGATATCAACATTATGTCTAGTGACGTGTTCTGATATTGGTTAAGCGGATAACACAAAAATAAAGACTATGATTGTGGGCTAGGATTCCGACAAAAGACCACATTTTTAGACTATGGTTGTAGTAGAAAACGATTGTAATTCACAAACGACGCAAATAGAATAGCCTTTGGAATTGTGTATAACATAAAAGATATATTATCATTGTGAAATTACACTTTTAGCCCTCAAATTAACACCAACATGATAGAAGATCAAAAAAGAACTATTTGTGGAAAGATCCATATAAAAGAAGGACCACTGGGATAATATTTGTTAATAGAGGACTAAATAGGGAAACCCTCTTGTTATAAAGGGCCAATTATGGAATTTTCTCTATATTTAAAAACCATGTCAAAAACTCTATACAATAAGAGACGATAAGAATATTTTATTTTATCAAGTAATCAATGAAAACACACAAATAAACAAAAATGATCGAAAAGTGAGGAAAAAAATATTGTAATCAGAATTGGAACGGAGAAAGTAATTACTCCGTAGTTAGGTATATATCTCACATCAACTGAATATATAGATAAATAAAATAAATGTTAATAAAGTTGTTAATTGAATAGGTTTCTAACACGGTATCAAAGTCTTGATCAATTTAACCAAAAGTACAAACTTCTGATTATATATTTCAAGAAAGATTACACATTCTAACAGAAAGAAAATCTAATATCTAATAATTCATAGAAGAATTTGATTCATATAGCGCTAAAAGATAGTATGTATGTTACCTTGAAAATGACCAAGTTGTTTTTATCTCTTTTTGACACATATTTTTGTATTATCTGACGTATATGTTCTCATTAGCAACACATGTTATATAATGACTAATTATATGAATGACTATACAAATATGGTCATTAGTGACAAATATTGGATAATGACTGATTATTTCAATGACTATTCAAATTATTTTTTAATAATGAGGTATTCTACTTGAATTGTGTAATATGTTATTCATTTACTAACAGATGCCATTTGTAGTCACTTTTGATATACGCTTGTCATTTTCCCGGCTATTAACAAAACACTCAAATTTTCAAAGGCAGAGCATTTTAAAATTTTTCATTGTCAAACGCTCAACTAAATAAGGCAAGTCATATTTAGAAAAAAAGATGATATGTTTAAGTTCCATTTGCATAAATGAGTGCTAATTACCCTATGATTCAATGAATGGAAGTTAGTGGAGAAGGATTTAGAAGGAGCGATAGTGTGGTTCAGGAAGGCCATAGAAGGAGGGGAGAGGGTAGGGAGTGCCCTAAAAGACATGGCAGTGGTGTTGAAACAGCTGGATCGATGCCAAGAAGCCATTGAAGCCATCAAGTCCTTCCGCCTCCTTTGCCCCGCCCAATCCCAGGATTCCTTTGACAATGTCCTCCTCGATTTATACAAAGTACGTATCATATAGTATATACTTTGGATGAGTATTTCTGTCATACATGAAAAAAAAAAAAGTTGATTACATCCGGCCGGGGACGACGACGAATTATACTTATTGATTAGCTTGTTTATATATGCAGAAATGTGGTAAAGTGGATGAACAAATAGCGCTGTTGAAGCTGAAGCTGAGAAAGATTTATCAAGGGAAGGTCTTCAATGGCAAACCTACCAAGACTGCTCGCTCCCATGGCAAAAAGTTCCAGGTCTCCGTCACCCAAGAGAGCGCCAGATTA